CATATCAAGGTATCACTACTGACATAATGTGTCACTCAATCTATACATATTGAAGTATTACAATTACTAATAATCATCATAATTATTATCGTCATCATTATCGTTTTCATTATTAGCTATTATTATTATTATTACTATTATTATTATTATTATTATTATTATTATTATTATTATTATTATTATTATAAACAAAAAGACTAAGACAATACTTATTATTATTATTATTACTATTATTATTTATTACATATATTATTACATGTATTATTATTATTATTATTATTATTATACAGTTCTCCAACTGTTTGGATGAAGAAACCAGAGGTTAGGTCAAGATCAGCTTCACCTATTCATGGAGGAGGTGGTTCCAAGTCCTCGCCCACCCACAAAGGAATGGCCTCGCCTGTTGATGGAGCCTGGTCACCACTCAGTAGAGAACAGAGTGCCTTGCTTGAGACAGCTTGGAGAACCAGAGAAACTTCAATTAAAATAGCAGAGGAAGATGTTAGTAACACTTACTATGCTACATGTACATCTACATACATATAAATGTCATGTCTATAAAAGAATACCTTTATTTATGTATTGATATCTGGGACATATGTTGCCTAACATTGCATGATGGTACTGTTATTTTACTTATTCTGTATCTCTGTAGTTTAATTTGGATACTATGATGGTCACTATTGAGAGAGGAGGAATAAAGCAGAGAGTTGGTAGCATATCAAGGTCCTTTAATCCTGGTATTTGGGTCTGGTATTCGCACTGCGTGAAGACCAGCTCTGTGAGCGTTAAACTGGGTCTCGTTCAGATTGATAATCAGTTAGATGATGTGGAACTACCCACGAGAGTCGTGTTCTCATCTAAAGAAATGCAGCATTTATCTGAAGAGAGTAAGTGATACACACACTTAATATACTGCATCTTATTTGATCTCTTTCTAATCTCCTTTTCTCTTTCTTACTATTTTTGGCTCTTTCTCCTTTTTTTCTTTTTCTAAATGATCACTCTCTTCCTCTCCTTTTCCAGTCACTGATCCTTTTCTTGATTTCATTATAACTCTTAGTACACGGAATCCTTTCTCTATCAGAGAGATTGAGTGAGTCCAATACGCAAATTAACAGCCTTACAACTTATTGTGTGCTTTTTTGCTCAGAAAATGTTTTTTGAAGATCAAGCCATTGCGTGTTAACATTGAGCTTGGAGTGGTTGCTGCCCTGCTCCCATTCACTGATGTCATAATGGCCACTGGAAGCGATGAGGTAAAGGAAAAAGTGTGTTTGATTGATTGATTGATGTCTCTGTTTAGTTTTCAGAACTGGGCAAAGAAGACATGTCATTGATTAATAAACCACTTAAAGATATTTTAAAAACTGACTCAGTAGGAAAAATTTTCCCTTTTGGTACTCCTATTATTTTTTGCTTTCTTTCTATCTCTCCTTTTCTTTCATATTTCTCATCCTTTCCCCTCAAATCTTTTCTAATTATTTTAGTTAGTTAAAGTAAGGACTGTTAATCACATTGATGTCCTCCAAATAGCTCAAGCATCTGTAAGTTACATGAAATGTGATATAATTATTTACATGCTCTTTTAGTTGTCAGTTACTTATACAACAGCTGGTGAATATGATTTGAGCTCTCAATGGGGCAAAGTAGTTAATGCTCTCATTCATTTTGCCCTAATAACTAAAGGATCATTTGACATCAAGTAATAATTATAATATAAATCAAATTTACGAGTTATTCAATGTCTCATCCTCACATTGTAGTTTAAAGTCAGTTACTATAAGCAATGAAGTATTGGATGCTGAACAAATCAAGAGGCTAATATGGGGCCATTACAAGAATGAGGTACAATGATCCTAATACTCTAATGCAATGATGTATGGTGGTGTTCTTGTATTGTAGATGCTGTTGCAGTTCCAAAGGTTTGCGCTTGGCCTTGACGTGATTGGTAATCCTGTCAAACTCTTGAGCAGTTTCCAAGTCGGAGCTAAAGACCTAGTGAACTTCTCACGTCAAGTAAGTGTTGATATTGCTCCTTGAAAATGACACCCTCTCTCTCTCTCTCTCTTTATTCCAGGGTTTAACTGAAGGGGATGCTGGTACTCATATTGCTGCTGGTGTGAAAAGCTTTCTTGGACATTTTATTGGTAAACCCATTTACTATACAATAATTTGCCTCCAGTACACGATTGAACTAGTTTTTGTTATTTTTTGAACCTATTAGAAGGCAGTGCTGGTTCTGGTGTAAGATCAACAGCCGTCCTTAGCAGTCTCCTCCTAGCAGCCACTGACATTGAATACCAAAGAGTGAGTCATCATTAACTGATATTAAATGTATCAAATAGAAAATACTAATAAATTACCATGGATGATTATTTTTTAACCAAACATTTGAGATCTTAATTGCATTGTATATCCGGAGGGTTTCCCACAAAGCATGCTAATTGAGCTATAAACAGTATGCTTCATGAGCTGATAAGCACTATGATAGTACATGGTTTGGAATCAGTTCAAACTTTTCATGTACTATGCTACAATCCTGTGGGAAACCCTGAAATTACTACTAGTAGTCATGACTGCTATAATTATTTTGTTTAGAAACACCGCTACATGAGGCAGGCTAGGAACGAAAACGATTTGACATCAAACCTAAAACTGGGCAGTACCTTTTTTATTAAGGTAAATTTACTGTAATATCTATGAGTATAAATACAATCAGCATAATGTGCCTATATAATGTATGTGTTGTTCTTGATGCCAAAGCTTATAAGTCTTTATGATCTAAGGCTGATCACATTATCCCTATAGGGTGTGTTTCATGGTGCTACTGATATCATTGTGAAGCCAATAACTGGTGCATCCAGTAAAGGCTTTGAAGGTTTCATGAAGGGAATAGGACGAGGTGCTATATCAGTACTTGTAAAACCAACACTTGGTGCTGTTGATTTAGCTAAATACACTATGGAAGGAATAAGAAGGTGAGAGCTTTTCATTCTCATCTTTCTCTTCTTTTTAATGTTTGTGTTTCTTTAGTTCAGTTGATGACGAACTGACTGTTGAAACATCAAGGCTGCCTCGTTTAATACACAGTGATAAGGTCAGGCATTAAATGAGACCATGCAGTGCTATGATGCTATTGATACTGTAGGTAGTGACACCTTACAACAGTCATGAGGCTGAAGGATTGTACATTGTTCGACATCTCTCTGAGCCTCTCCTTAATGATCACTATGTCTTTCATGAGTGGCTTCCTTCTCCAAGCCCTTCAGCTGATCCATTGCTTTTATTAGTCACATCAAGGTTAATAGTAGTAATACAGTGCAAATATGGGGAATGCACACTGAATGATTACTGCATGCAATATACAGTTCACTGCAAAGCATTGCATACTGAATGATTACTGCATGCAATATACAGTTCACTGCAAAGCACTGCATACTGAATGACTGCATATACAGTTATCTTTCATCTTAATTTTGATTGATGTAGACAACTGATGCAGTTATGCAAGTCCAAGAGACACTATCGATGTGAATGGTCCACTGGATTGGACAGTATCATCCAAATAAAAGCAATGAAATATTCAACTGAAGATCATCAGAGCAAGAATGATTACACTGACTTTGGAATACTGCTGGAATACAAGGTCAGTAATATATAAAATTGGTATTTTAATAAATCCTCAAAATAATTTCATCATACATTAACAGGATGAAAATATCTTCCGAAAGAAGCAGAATAAATTTCTCTTAAAGCTTGAAGATACAGTGGGGGCAGAGGTAAAGATGCATAATGATATTGTTATACGTTTGATGATTGTTATTTTTTACTAATGTGACCAGCTTATTGAAGAAAAAATCAACAATGCTAGAAAAACATTTATAAAGCAAGATGATGGATGAGGTCATGTTTTTAAATGTTGTATCATTGTATTTTATAACATTTTATTCTTCTTATAACAAATTATTTATAATTTTTCTGAAATATATTCTATTTTTCTGCAAATCTCATTATTATTTTTAATGTAATTTTTTTCTCTTTTTGTTTCCCGGCATTATACGCGGGACGAGTCGTCAAATTAATTACCTGCCAACGCGAGCTGTCAAAATCTCTTCAGCAAAGAGACTGAACTCTATGTATTGCTCCTTTGGTAGTAAAAACCTCTCTTTTCTCTTCTAAAGTCCCATGTCTAACTTTGGCAGCTCTACTGGAGTCTCTACTAGAGCCATAACTGGTGCATTCAAGTCCCCCGGAACTACAAAATGCATATTCGCAAGAGTCTCTTCCACTGAGTGTCCCAGCCTTGATCAACAGCTGGGGTACATCTTGGGGAAGACGCTTGGGAGTGGAACTTACGCTAAAGTCAAAGCAGCTTGGTCTAAAAGGCACCAGTCACTGGTAATTATCAAGTATCTAAATATTTTTAATAATTTTTCATCCATCCCCAATTGCAAGACGCGAACACCTCATTTTGTCAACTCTGTTTCTTTGTACAGGTAGCTATTAAGATACTCAACAAGTCAGTCGCATCCAGAGACTACCTCCACAAGTTCCTTCCTCGTGAGATTGATATACTACAAAAGATTAATCACTCCAGCATCATTAGAGTCCTTGAGATCATTGAAACAGACAAGCTGGCTTACTTCATGATGGAATTAGCTCAAAATGGTGATCTCCTTGACTACATTAATGCCAGACGTACGCTACCCGAGGCAGAGGCTAAGTATCTATTCAGACAACTTGTACTGGGCATACAGTATCTTCATCGTCACAACATTGTCCATCGTGACCTCAAGTGTGAGAATATCATGCTTAGCAAGGACATGGAAGTAAAGATTGGAGGTGACTATGATATCTATGATTATTATTACAGTGTAGCTTTATTATTAATTTTTTTCTCAAAAAGATTTTGGATTCTCACTCAATCTCTCCACTGCCCCTTCAAAGACACCATGTGGGTCTTATTCTTATGCTGCTCCAGAGCTCTTCCAGTCGAGCGGAGAACCTTACGATGGAAGGAAGTCAGATGCTTGGAGTTTGTAAGTTATTACTAATAATAATGATTATTATTATTATTTATTATTATTATTATTATCATTATACTAATTATTACTATTATTTTTTTTTTGCTACTACTACTACTTATAATTGTTATTGTTATTTTTATTTTTAGAGGTGTAATTCTTTTTGCAATGACTTGTGGCCGGTTGCCATTCGGCGATGACTCACAAGTAAAAGCGCAGCAGAAGCTTGGACTAATCTTTCCTCCTTCACGCCCACTATCTCATGACGCCAAGGACCTCCTACGTAACATATTGAGCCCCAAAGTCAAGGATCGCTTTGATACCTACGACATGATACTACACGATTGGACGGCATCTCTGCCGGTCAGAGTGCCTCCTCCTCTCTCCTCAAAGCCAAAGTACACGCTAGAGGAGTGCATACCTACCATAAGAGGGGACCCAATATTGCCGCACATGACTAGACCCCCTACTCCTGTCCCCCTCCCTCTTGATCCGGGACAGCCATCGGGTGGAGCTCATTATGCTCATCAAGCAAGACCTCATCGTCATGCGAGGCACAGTACAGCTGCTCCAGCTTCAATGAGACCATCAGATCATTCAAATCATTCAGCAGCACCTGCTCAATTACCGTCAGCTGTAGCTAATCCTCTACTGCAAACGGGTACTTCTTCGTCTCATAATCATCATGGGCCCCGAACCGGCTCTACCTCTACTTATAAGACAGATCAACAGTGAAAGGATTGCATGATGACTGAAGCTGGGAGTGTCTTATTCAAAGCTACACAATAATGCTAATGTTGTAACAATAGATTGTATGATGCAAAGCCACTTTATTGTTTTTACTTTATTATAATTATTAAAAGTATTGTACATGCATGCATTATTCTCGTTGTGTATTTTATGTCTGCATAATTCTTTGAATGGAGAATTGGTATTTTAGTGTAGAATGAAAACAAAAGGTATGGTGAAAACTGTTTTTACATGCATTGGGTGGATCCAGGAATTGGGCGGACCTCACTCACTGTAAACTGACACTCCCTCTATAATAATTATACCAGCATAGCACTGAAGGCAGCAAAATTGAAAATACAATACAAGGCTAATTAACAGGGCAACCAGGACTCAAAATGCGGCGGAGTGGAGCAGGCAGTGTACCTCACGCTCCGCCAGGCCTGAGCTTTGACAAAACAGAAGAAGGACCCCATAGTGCAAAGAGTAATAAGCCTTACCCGTTTCTGAAACAGCACACCGCCATTGGACTAACTACTCTCCCAGAAACCACGCTCCGACCAGAGCAGATCGAGCAGTCTGTGAGTCTAAATAGTCTACAGATGAAATTTGAGTGTGGAGTTTGTCTAGAAGGTTATAATGAAAGTGGATCCCATGCCCCTCGAAGTCTCTCTTGTGGACACACTTTTTGTACTGGTAAGTTCATCAATGTAATCTCTTATTAAATTATTATACCTTCTTATCAATGGTAGTTGTGTTATGTATTAAGACTATGTCCCTACTAATACAGGTTGTCTCTCTCAGTTGGTCAAGGAAACTATTTTGTGTCCAAAGTGCCACCAAGCCTCCCAGTTACCTCCCAGAGGAGTGAATGACCTACCCAAGAACTATGGCGTCCTTGAAATAATGTACAGCAACCCAATCACATTCAACCAGGATCATCCTAGCAGCAGCTGTGCAGAGGATGTTAAATGGTCAGTCGGCTCCAGTATCCCATTGTGTACAAAGCATGGCGACCAGCTCTCCAGTTTTTGTGACGAAGATGAAGAGTTAGTTTGTAGTTCTTGTCTTCTTTATGGACCTCATAAGCATCATGGCAGTACACTAGTTAATGAAGCTGCCATTGAAGCAAGACAGACTCTAGTCAAACTGACCCCTGATATTAGCGAGACTATCATAGTAGCTGAGAAATCTCTGAAAGAGATTGATACGGTGGTCCAATCTGTCAAGGATTCATCTCATCTCATATCGGACGAGATTGATTCTCATTTCAACGAGTTGGTTGCAGTCTTAGAGAATAGGAGAAAGGAGTTGAAACTTGATGCCCTTCATAGAAGCCAGAACAGAATTGAAGCTCTGCTAGAACAGAAACAGTAAGATTCACTATGGCTGTTATTGTTATCCATCATACACAATTTGTTATTGTGAAGTTAGAACTTATGCAGTAGCAGCAGTACTTTTGTTTGTTTTGGACTGAACCAGAAGTGTTCTGTGAACAAAATTATTGGTACATGCATCAAAAATGCAAGATTCAGAAAAATTTATTTGGCATTCACACTACCATTTGTTTATACAGCACTTCCAGTTGTAACTCAAAAACACATGAAAAACAATGTGTAAATTCAAAATCAGCCTTAACTTTCAGCCACTTATTAATTTTATTATTATAATTTATTTTTTATTAGGGCTATATCATCTCGTATTGACATAGCACATGAAGTTCATGCTACCTGCACTCACCTGTTAGCCACTGCTGATAACTACACACTCCTCGGTGAGTATAAGAAAGCTACCGACGGTATCCAGACCATCTTTGTCAATCTTCCATCAATGAGTCCCGTGGCACGCGACGATCTTGTAATCGATTTTCCTAAAGAAGCTGCAGAGGAACTCCAGTCCCAGTATTATTCACATGGAAACATAAGATCCGGTTCGTTTTTAGTTGTTTATCATATAATTGTTTTGATTTTTGATGTTGCCATACATGTGCATTGTTATTTTTTTGCTGTTTCATTTGTAGGAGTTGGTACGGTGAAGTGCGTTGTATGTGAGCCTTTTCATGACGGAGTACGTATTTACTGGCAAGGACACAATTACGTTGACAGCATTGGCATTACTTATGCTTTACAAATGTCAAGGGGAGACGATGAAGAATTTGTCAATATATACAGAGGTAGAGTATTATATTATTTTTACTCTGTTCTTTTACTTTTATTACCATAGGTGGGGATACAAAGTTCACTTGGAAGTGTGACAGTGAAAAGGAAGAATCTGTAAAGCATAACTTTAGAGTGAGAGTCCAGACCTGTGAAGGAGTGGGGAATTGGTGCACTCCTGTGTCATGCATCAGAAGCCATCCAGGTATTTAAGAGTTGGTAAACACAACTGCAGTCATACTATGATTAATGCAGCATGATATACTATCACTCACCTCTTTGGCTACTTCTTCAAAAAGTCCCTTGTACATTTAAATACAAATAGTCATTCTTATCATAGTTATTCTTTGTACTTTTGCTTTTTAAATTTTAAGCATTATTTTAATATATCAATATAATTCACACATTTTTTGATATATTGGTGTTGCTAATTTGCTATGTAGAAAGTTTGAGTTGATTAAAGACTCATGCATGAGTAAATGGGGAAAACAAGATAGAGCAAATCTAGAAGTGTACTATAGATAAACAGCCTCCACTGCAGCACAACTGACACACGTATTCTAATTCTTAGGGTGGAAATGGCACAAGAAATGGTGCAATATTAAAGTTGAGATTGGTTTGTCACAAATGGAAGCTTGGTCGAGACACGCTTCTGGAAAAGACTGGACACTATTAGCAGGTACAGTACTAACTATACTCCAATGACCCATACATAGATCTACAGGGTATCTGTAATGCTTGAGCCTCACAACAATGCAATATCATTTATGCATCAATAGTATGTATTATTTTATAGGAGATACTATTATATCAAAGGGTCAGCATTATGTTGAAATAGAAGTCAAAGAGACAGCAAAGCATCACATTCGTCGTGACTGGTCCACCAAACTAGCAATTGGTCTGATACAATGCAAGGACAGAGAGACAGCCAACTCATCAATATCATGGCAAGAGTGCAAATTTTCTGTTGGGCAACTGCCTTCTCACAACTCTTGGAGTTTTCTAGCGACTGGGAACTCTAAAAAAATGTCGTCTCGGAACTCAGAGATGACTACTGAAGAGTATGGAGGAATAGCAAGCATTGAGTCCGGGGATAGACTGGGTATGCTGGTCGATTTTGATGGCAGCGGTCTGGCCAGTGTATCGTTCTTCTGCAACAGTTTAGACCTTGGTGTAGCCTTTGCTAAAGTACCTGGACCTTTCCTACCTGTAGTGTCTGTCTGTGATAGATTCCATATTTGTCTCAAGTTTCCACCACCTCCCTACTCTAAGCGTAATCCTCGTCTTACTCTTTTTTCCTCTGGCTCTTCGACAGCATTGTTTTAAACTGTTTTTTACAAATTATATTTTATGGAAACAAAATTGGATTTATAGACATTCACAAAAACAACAAAAAATTTAATTTATAATAATAATAATGATTTTTAATTATTTTATAGTCATGATTTGTTCTGTGAATGAAAATAGAAGAATAATGATAATTAAAAGAGAAAAAAATGTTTATTGTCATACCTGATAACCAATCCATTGCCATGTCTAGTCCTTCACCAGTTCTTGCATTTGTAGCACTATTATAGATACAAAAAAGTAAAATCTTATGCCTTATTTTTTAAGTATTTTTAATTATTATTTTTCTTTTATAACTTACAATATATTGTATGGTTTATCATCAGCAATTTCTGCCAATTCCATCTTATCTGCAATCTATAATGTACTCATCATTATATCATTTATAGTGCATGATGTTTTCCTAACCTCTACATCTGAGAGTGCATCTTTAAGGTCTTTCTTGTTAGCTAAGCAGCAGATTGGGATTCTTTTTTGCTTTATAACTACAAGAAATAATAAAAAATTTAAACACTGAACTAGGGCTTTCCCACAGGATTTTGGCTCATTGCTGCCTAGCGGCAAAAATCCACTGAGTTAAATTTGATAAAACTAATATTTTGTAACAGTATTTTGTCAAATTTCATCAAAACTCTTATTATTATTTTTAAATAGATGTTTTTTTATGTTGTGTAGAAAGCTTGAACTAATCAAAATTAGATTTTAAAATTGCTCTAAAATCAGGCCAAAGGCCCTATATATAGTACAGGTTATTGGCCAAATTTGTCAAAAATGACTAGGAGAGAATTCTTAATTTTTTATAACTTTTTCTAATATGTATACATGTCCTTATGTTGTGTAGAAAGTTTGAGCTAATTCAAATCAAAATTAGATTTTTTATGAATTTTAAAAGTTGCTCCAAATGGCATGTACTGTATTGTAGTACAGTGCTGTCAGCTCATGAAGCATGCTTTGTGGGAAGCCTAATCAGAACCAAACATTTTTGTATTAAATTCTTTGTTCAAATTGTTAAAATAATGATGTAGGAAGTAACAATAAGCTGGATAATTTACAATTTCCTACTCTGGAATTTGCATTCCATCTGTGGAAGATGTCACTTCCTACAAGTTTGTACAAGCAAGTCCCTTACCTGGATGCTCAAGAAGTGCATGCAGTTCTTCTCTGGCTACTTCTAGCCTCAGCCTCTCACTGCTATCAATGACAAATATGACAGCCTCAGTCTCAGGGTAATACTGCTCCCATAGGTTTCTATACCTTCCTTGTCCAGACATGTCAAATACAGTAAATGATATCCTGGGATGAACAAGAGCAAAATAAATTCACACTCTCATCAGATAGATCCACTCTAATACCTTGATATTAAAAATTTCTCTACACTGTAGCCAATGGTTGGAACAACCTCTTCAGATTTAGTCTGTTATTGATGACAATTTGAGTTAAAGGAATAAAAAAATTAAATAAAAATTAATATCTACCTGTGGTGGCTTAAAATGATTGATCACTGTTGTTTTTCCACTATTATCCAGTCCAACACATAAGACAGTTGCTTTTTTATTAGTAATGCCAAGCCAAGTAGCCAATCTCTTGAACACATCCATTACTCTTTACTCTTTAGTTCAGTAGCTTCAGTTGTTATTGTTTATCAAATTGGGGGTGGGGTTTCAAAACCATAGCAACCAGTCACGTGATAAATTTTGAATTGTAACCATGACGACTTGTACTGAGCATGCGCGATTCAAAAATCAACCAAAAAGTGGGTGGGACGGAGCCTCGCCCCTTTAAAGTTTTTGCGGTGCTACTATACTTCGTAGACACAGACTTGTCACCCTCTCTCTCCTCTCCTTATTTAGTAAGTTGCATTTGTATTGCTGCTATATTAAGAACTGTGCCTGTTTTAATTGCTAGATTCTTCTTCAAGGGCGTTTCGTTGAAAGCAAGAAGGAGCCAAGATGCCGAGGCCGGTAAGTGAACTTCATTACATACATACTAGTCACACGTTATTATAATTTGGACCCATATACCTAGTCATAACTGTAAAAACTGTCTGTGAAATGAGGCGAAAAAATAATGTGTTAAAATGATTATCATGCCCTTTTTCTAATACTACTTTTAAAATAACTTTCTTTCTTTCCATTTGTTCTAATGCAGGTTACTGTCCGTGTAACCACTATGGATGCTGAACTGGAGTTTGCTATCCAGCAGAGCACTACAGGAAAGCAACTCTTTGACCAGGTGCAACTTCTTCCCTTCCTCCCCCCTCCCTCACGTGGTCTGATATTATTGTTTGGAATTACTACCATCCAATGATTGTTTTTGATTGTGCATATAGATAATGTGTCTTTTCTTGGATAACACCCTTAGTACACAATCCACACACAAGCTTGCATGAATATGTGTACATCTGCATGGTAATTGGGAAATTTGTTAAAATTCCCACTACACTGCACTAGATTCCACTTGCTGACATTGTTAGGCTAACTTGCACGAAACTTTGGTGTACATGTACGTGCATAGTGAAAATTGTATGTCTTCCGATGTCTTATAAACACTATCAGTCATGTTCATTCTTTATCATTCACTCCTCTCTCTTTTCGCTTTCTCTTTCCCTCCCCCCCGCTCTTTCTCTCTAGGTCGTAAAGACAATTGGTCTTCGTGAAGTATGGTGGTTCGGTCTACAGTACGAAGATGACAAAGGCTACATCACTTGGCTCAAGCTAAACAAGAAGGTTCTTGCTCAGGATCTACCCAAAGAGACTCCTCTGAAATTCAAATTCCGCGTCAAGTTCTATCCCGAGGACGTCCAAGAGGAGCTGATACAGGATGTCACCCAACGCTTGTTCTACCTTCAAGTGAAAGACTCCATCCTCACTGATGAGATATACTGTCCTGCCGAGACACTTGTCCTTTTAGCATCTTACGCCGTAAGTGTATTAGTAATAAACCCAAGTGTCGCTAATGTGAAGGGCAGACAACAAAAACTGATTTTGATTGCTTTCTAGGTACAAGCCAAGTACGGGGATTTCAACCCAGATGAGCACAAGCCTGGTTTCCTAACTAAAGACAGGCTACTACCTAAAAGGTAAAAATTCGAAATAAGAATAGCATTGTTCTGTTGCTAAAAATAGACTCATAGCGATATTCATTTTGTTTACTGGTTTCACCAGCTCATATTCATTGCCACATGACTCCCTCTACTGGAGCATTATTCATGAATTGTGGCCCATCACCCGGTCAATATGTGTGGCCATTGATTTTTGAATTTTTAGAGTTTATGATACACACAAGCTGACCAAAGAGCAGTGGGAGGAAAGAATAACAACATGGCACAAGGAACACAAGACCATGATGAGGTGAGTGACATTCTTCACCTGAACCCACACCAGCAACACCTCTCCCTCTAAACAGGGAGGATGCCATGTTAGAGTATCTGAAGATTGCACAGGACCTTGAGATGTATGGCGTCAACTATTTTGAAATCAAGAACAAGAAGGGGACTGATCTTTATCTTGGTGTCGATGCCTTGGGCCTCAACGTCTACGAGAAAGAGGACCGCCTCACTCCAAAGATTGGGTTCCCATGGAGCGAGATCCGTAACATCTCCTTTAATGACAAGAAGTTTGTCATCAAGCCCATTGACAAGAAAGCTCCCGTAAGTTGTCATTCATAGTAGATAGAGAGAGAGTGAGACGTATGATGAGTAAATACAGGATGTACATGTACATTGTATGTAGTTTGTAGTAATTCTGTAAATGATTGTTTATGATTCTTTACACATTATTCACTACCAATTCAAAGCTGCAGTTATGAATGTTTGTGATGCTGCACTTACTATTAATCTTGTATGAGTATAAACTATAAACACTCCATTTCAACCACTTTTAAGATTTCAGTTTAAACCAATTAGTCATAAATAATTCCTCAAGCACCAAACATGTACATGTACATGTACATGTATGATTATTTATATTATGGTTTGTTTTATGTACATGTAATAGGATTTTGTTTTCAATGCCCCTCGTCTACGCATCAACAAGCGTATCTTGGCTCTCTGCATGGGAAACCATGAGTTGTACCTCCGCCGAAGAAAGCCAGACACCATTGAGGTCCAGCAGATGAAAGCACAAGCCAGGGAAGAGAAGATCTCCAAGCAATCAGAGAGGTATATAGGCAGAATGTAATGTAATAGTGTGTTAATTGTGTTTTGTGTGAAGGGTTCGCTTCCAAAAGGAGCGTCAAGCTCGCGAGGAGGCTGAGCGTAAGACAAAGGACTTACAGGAAAAACTTCAGAAAGTAATTGAGGAGGAACAGAGAGTTAGACTCGGTTAGTCAGTTAAATATAATTTAGTATTTTATATTAACTTATTTTCTCTCTCTCTCTCTCCCTCTCTCTCTCTCTCTCTCTCTGTATAATTTAGAGATTGAAAAGAAGGAACAGGAACAAAGAGATACTGCTGAAAGGCTAAGAAGGGAGCAGGCAGAGAAGGAAGAATTGGAGAGGAAACATGAAGAAGCTAGAAGGGCTGCAGAGGAAAAGGCACAAGATGCTGCTGAAAAGAAGAAGCTTGAGGAAATAGCGGTAAGGGAAATGATATGTGTGTCCCATTGAGGAGTATTTTATTGATTTCTTTCATTATAGAAAGAGAAAGAAGCAGCAATAGCCAAAGCGAATGCTGAAATGGAAAAAATGAGAAAAAAGGTATAACTTGTACATTAATAAACTGCATGTAGTGTTTATTTAATGTCACGTGTAGATGCAAGAGCTTGAGTTGGAGCAGAGTAGGCTGAAGAAGGCTAACGAGACTCCAGCCATAGCACTAGTGACGGAAGATGATCACAACGAGGATGATGACAAAAAGGTAAGCCGTTTTAATTTTATCAAAAAATAATTTCACCCTGTTCGCTTAGACTGAGGGGACTACTGATTTTTCAATGGAGGGAGCCAGTAACGTCGGCTCTGAAATGAGCCGTGTCCATATTGCAGAGAAGAACAAGCAAATGGCTCAGATGCTTAAGGTACTTACAAGTGCAGGAGGACACTAAGACACTGTATTATTATTATTATTATTATTATTATTTCCTTTCTCTAGACTCTAACTACAGAGCTGGCTGAATCAAGAGACGATACCAAAGCAACAAAACTGGACCAGCTCCACGCCGAGAACGTCAAGCAAGGACGCGACAAGTATAAAACCCTCCGCCAGATTCGTCAGGGCAACACTAAGACTCGTGTTGAAGAATTTGAGCACATGTAAATGGAGGGAAGGAATGCACGTACTTTTTACTGTTACAGCTAGGGAACATTATTTTTGATAACTTACCCCATTGATATGTAATTAAATTGTAGCTATTTTTGTAATAATACTTTGAGCTTTTAATGTTTATTTTTTGCTTACGATATTATTATTATTATTATCCTTGTTGTTTTAGCTAACTCTTTTTTCTATTTTCTCAAATGTTGGTAATTTTATTTTTGTGCAAGATAACTTAAAAGGTTACTTCATTAAATGCAAACTAGTCTCCAGTTCTTTTAATAAAACTTTGCCATGTGTCATTAAACTCTTGATCTTGTCCTGTCACAAGAAAGGAGAAGGAATCACCTTAAATATTATATTATATATATACTTTTTCTGTTGTGTTTCTGTGTAGCTCAAACTCATTCCTTATCCATTTTGTCATTTCTTTTCTTTGGACGTCATTCTCTATTCCTCTCAGAGCAGTGAGTAAATGACGATATAAAGTAAGGGCTTCTCTTCTATAAATGAACTGAAATTGTGAACATTTTATAAAAAAAGAACAGAAAAGGTAAGAGGTTACATGTTTTAGAGTTAACTTTGACATAGATGGGCGTGACAACTACCACACCCCTTTTTCATTTAATGATTTTCATTTACTAACAATGGGTTATTATTTTTCACCATAATAGATTTTAAAATCTATTTGCATTAATCAAAATTTTAGTTGCTACCTCAATAAATTAATATTATTTCAGAAAAAACCAACAACAGTAGTTACAATCATTTGACTATGACATATCTCTACAATAAAATTAATTATTTAAGTCTGAGCTGTTTCTTCTTTCCTTAGTAACATGTTAGGTATGCCATCTTGAATAGGGAATAGTCTCCCAGACTCAGGACATTCTAAATCACCTTCAATAATTTCTACCTAAAATAAACAATTAATATACTTGTACAAGGAGCATTTTAAAACAAAACTTCATAAGAAAGTACTTTAGACATACCTCCATTAGTGCATGATGTGCTGATTGAAGGAATCCTTCATTGGACTCAAAATCTACAGGTAATTCAATAGGCAGCGACTGACCATGACCTATCTAAAGGGAATGAGCATTAATGAGTGAGAAGACAGTAATGTACATATTTTTATTAAAGTTAGTCTACACAAACTGAACTTAATTCGTGTTCAATCTTAATCTACATCCATCATTAATGCCTTTTTATTAAACTCGATCATACCATGTCAGCTGTTTTCTTCAAGACCGGCCAGTCTACCTTCTTGAGCATACGCGAGATGAAATCAGAATTGAATTGAACATCTTTCACCTCGACCTTCCTAGCCTATGCAATAATAAATAGCTATGTGCATCGTTTTTTACTCACAATTAGTTTCAGTGGGTAACCATTAATGACTCCTTTAACATGAGATGTAAGCATGTTATGAGTGAGAAGCTTCATTTTCTCTTTCAGTCCCTTGTGGCAGCACGTGGGTACTAGTGTTCGGAAGTATACGGAAGCCACGTGGTGCTGCTGGTGCAAAACACTGAAAACAGAAGGTATTGAATTATTATTATGGTTAGCCATGGATTTTATTTAGAGTATGAACCAGTTAAGAGATATAATCATTCCACAGCAAGAATAGATGACTGGAATTGTCAGTTGTTGGAGCATAAAGTAGTCTCTGGGGGCGGGGCAATACTAAGCAAGTCGTGACCATCCGCTGGATATTGAGGACTATTATGCAATGCCAAACAAAGTATTTTATTCTGAAGGATTTGTATTCATTGTCAATTATATATGTCTACCTATAAACAGGGAGAGGTGGACGTCAACACTAGGTTGGGTGTCAAGACTAGGTTGTTGCATTTTATTGATTATTGGGAGGAGATTGACTTTTTTGGGAAAGTTTGTTATTTTAGAGGTAAAATAATTATTATGTGTGTCAATTACATATTTTTATGTTGTGTAGTATAGAGCTGTTTCTGATTACAATTGGATTTTTATAAATATTTTTAAAGCTGCTCCAAAAGTTGGCCAATGTGTACAGGGTATTTTACCAAAAATGAAAAGGTAAGGATTTTTCATTTTAAATTTTTTCTGATACATAATGTTTTTATGTTGTTTAGATTGTAGAAATTAAGTTTGAGCAGATTTCAATTAAATTTTTTTACAAATTTTTTAATTGGCTCAAAAAATTAGGGAATACTAGCCAAGTCTTGTCAAAAATGGTGATGATAGAATTTTTCATTAATTAATTAGATTTTCTGATATAAAACATTAACAATAATTATCATTATAACATTAAGAAATTAAGTTCTAGAAAAGTTAGTGTCTATTAATTAGGGTCGTCACCCAGTGAATCTCTTGTAGAGAGAAATTTTAAACAATCAATCAAGGTACCTATATGCACTTACTCATTTTCTCTGCAAGAGTTTCTGCCGGTCCACTAATCTCCTCAAGAATGTTGCTCAAAAATATGTAGAAGCTCTTTGAGTCCAATTCAATAGAATCTCCATTACTATCTAATACATGTATATCACAGACAACCAGGGAATTATGTTCTGCAGCAGGATCCACAATCACTCCATATTCTTCATTATTAATGATTCCGCACTGCAGAAGCTTCCCAGCAACTTCTAAAAGGTTAAACTCTAAAGTTGCTGTTATTATAGCCTGGTTTGCCGTAAGGAGCTCTTTCTCACCCTTCTTTCCCTTGTCATTGTACTTCTTTACCTATAACGTTAATTACTAAAAAGACCCATAGTTGACATGTAGTTGTAAATGATTTGATCTACGTGTAGATCTGCATGCACTCGAAGTATATATGCTTACCGAGAAATTCATGAAGTTGTTCATTGTCTTCAATACTGTGAAGAAACATACTCATGACATCTGCCTCTTGGCCAAAATTTTTGTGTATCTTTTTAAGAACACAATTCAGTAACAAGACAGCCCTGTTACGTTTGCTGAAAGCTCTCCCGGCCCTATCTACTACAACTGCATCAGGCAGCATTTTCTCCTGAGCTGCCAGAGACGCTAGCCTGGTAAGAGAATGCACTAACACCTGTGCAAGGATCTTCTAGTTGTAACTAAGTGTTAAAAACTTTTAGCTCTTGACTTTAGCCATCTCCCTCTTGTTTTGCTGCTTGAGACAGCATTGAAACAGAGCTAGAATAGAACAGCAGGATATGATTAATCAAGGAGTTGATTTAGTCACTTATTTTTGCCTCAAAGCATACAATGAGAAACAAACTTTCATTTAACATTCTAACACGTGTCATACCGTATCATAGAATTTCTAATAACTCGATGTGCAAATAATTAATTGACACAACAATGATGTTTCTATGGTAACGTTGATCGAAGGAAGCGTATCTACTACACCATTCATTGTGCGTGAGAGAAGAGACCAATGGCTACAGCAGTTGCTCCTCCTTTATCAAGAAAAGGAGCCTCTCCAAAGGCTGCAACAGCAGATGCATTCACAGTGAAAGCCTATACAGGGAATGCCAAGGTATTTAATGTACACTCACGAGACTTTAAATGAGCTCATTCTTTACAATACAGGTTTCATCACCTCCCAAAGCTGGAGCCCTGGAGCCCAGGCCGTACAAACCAACTGATTTTAGAAAGTTTTATGACAGGGGAGACTTCCCAATTGCTTTAGAACATGACACCAAAGGGAACAAGATAGCCTGGAAGGTTAAGAGCACACTAGCCATTTCATGATCCTTAATTATTGTCACAATTTTAATACCCTCTAGGTGGAGATAGAGAAGCTTGATTACCACCATTACCTACCTCTCTTTTTTGACGGCCTTTGCGAAACGGCTCATCCTTACGAGTTCTTTGCCCGACAAGGTGTTCATGATATGCTTGAGCATGGAGGAAAAAAGATTCTACCAGTCATTCCACAGCTAATCATTCCCATTAAAAGTTAGCATTTGTGAGATAGAAATCTAACATTAATTTTAAAGATTATACTGATGTACCTTTTTGAGTTTTTTCTCTTACTTTTTGTCACTATATACAATATAGATGCTCTTAACACAAGGAATGTCAAGGTCATCTGTACAACATTAAAGATCCTTCAGCATCTTGTCATATCCAGTGAACTAGTTGGCGAAGCACTTGTGCCTTATTATCGCCAAATTCTGCCAATATTGAACATCTACAAGATGAAAAACTGTAGGTTTTTGGCGCCAATTCTTGCATACCTGCTATAACACTGTACAACCTCCTTTTAGTGAACTCTGGTGATGGGATTGACTATAGTCAGCAGAAGAGAGAGAACATTGGAGACCTCATCCAAGAAACTCTTGAAGCATTTGAAAGGCATGGAGGAGAGGATGCATTTATAAACATTAAGTATATGATACCAACCTATGAATCTTGCATTCTGAACTAGTTTTGCATGGTTTGATCGCATATCTCTCATTATTATTGTTATTATTAAATTATTGTAATAATAATAGTTTAATTAAAAAGTCAAAAGGGAACCGTGTGGGGTCTTTTGTTGCTATAACTTGTCACTAGTCTATTCAGTGTCCTTTCGCCTTGGGAACTTGATAGTGACAGATTACCAGCTCTTGCAAGATAAACTTGTTGGGTAGTTTCCTTTATGGTAGGTCTCATGGCTTCTCTTGATTCTGTGGCTCTTTGGATTGCTATACTGTTGTAGTATTTGGGGAATGTTGTTTTCTGAGGTTCAGGTACAAATTCTGCTCTTGAAGTGTCAGATCTAGCTTTTTTTGTTTTGTGCTTGATAAGTGAAGCCTTGTACTTTTCATCAAGTGAAGCCAATAGTCGACTATATAGTGTCTCAAATGTCACATCTAAGTGAGCATCAGAATTGGCTTTTGACTGGAGATATTCTGACGTTAACGACTCTAAATCCTGAGCCCGAGAAACAATGTCAAAGAAATCAAATAGTTTCAAACTGCTCGGAGATTCTAATCGATAGTGGCCCATGGCTTGCAGCAGGTGGTGAAGTTTCGTTGGGGGCAGGATCTTATTAGTCATTTTGAGTGCGAATAGGATCTGGTTTTTGTCAGTTGGTAACGTGAGTCGTCTCTCCTTGGCAGTGACAGCTTGAAATACTCTCCTGGAAGTTGCCACTTCATTGTATGTTAATGATCTCTGATGCAGGTGAAGAAGGACCTTTTTTATTACCCTGACGCTATAGTGTGCAGTATAGTGATTAAAGACTCTGTCTAGCTCCAAGTCAAATATGTGGTCATCCAACCAGGTCTTAACTTCTAATTCAGAGTACCTATGCTTTGCATTTATGTCAATCCCGTGGCGTGCCAGACAGCGCTGAAACAAGTCACCATCGTATCCGAGGACAATAGCAACGAATTTCAGCTCCATGATTGTGTAGTAGCCTCTCTTGGCAGGATATGAAGGCAAAAGGAGACTCATTTCTCTGCGATTTTTTTTTGCAAGAGCTAGAGCCACACCCTGAAACGGTTAATTAATCTACATTATTAATTAACTTGTTATTTAACTACACCCACACAAATTAATTAGTGCGCCACGCCGCTCCATACTTTTGTACGCATGCGCAGTTCCAGGCCTCCTGCTAATTTTTGATCACAAAGACACAAAAAATAGATTCTGGTTCTTTTTTTGTCTCTACTAGAAGCGAAGGTTTCAATTTTGAATGGCCCAGTCGTCTCCAGTTACATCAGTATCTCGTAAAGGGAGTGAGTAAACAAAAAATAATTTCATTTTATCGATCCATCTCCTCTCTCAGAGTTCTCTGCCTTTACCGTGGAGCAGAGAGCCACGTTATTGAAATATTTCGACGAATATGGCATGACATCTACTCACCGTCGTAACATTGATCTCATTACTCAATGTGCAGCAGAACTGGGCACAACTATACCCAAAGTGAAGGTAGAGAATATAGCAAGCATAAGACATCCCGCCACCCCACCCAGCCACAACCATCATCATGCAATATTATAAATATTATTATTTTTGTTAGAATTGGATCGGCTCTGAAGTGGTTAAGAGGAAGAGAAAAGTCGGCATATTACCGCTACCAAAGTTTGAGTTTTCATCTGTGAGTTTGAGCTCATATCACGTACCTGTACACATATGCATAACAAGAAGCTGTGAAATATTAATTTTTTGTTATTGATTTTTAATATTATTAATAATTGTCTGCCAATGGGTTGTTATTGTACCATATTTCTTCATTTATAAGTACAGTGTTGGGTTTGTAGGGGTCACCAGAGCTCAAGCCTTCCACTGCTCCAGCAAAGAAGATCAGGCGTGTCAATGGATATAATTTATTTTTCTCGGAATACGTTCAGAATCACCCAGACCTTGGACCTGGTGCTTGACAGCATTGCAATGTCAATAACTTCAATGTTGTTTTTTTAGATTTTAAGGAGCGCAATACCATAGTTGCTACCAGGTGGGGAGAATTGAGCGAAGAGGAGCGAAAGCAGTGGGCAACACGTGCTGAAGCTGTTTGTAGCACATCTATACAGGTCAGTGTCATGCTTAATAAAATCTTCATTGTTAATTTATTTTGAGCATCATAATTAATTATAATGAATTAGTGTTGCTTGATTGAGTTGTAGTGGATCAATTAAAACACCTGTAAATGTTATTAGATTTTTTGATGATTTTTTTTCTTTTATTTCTATTAGGAGTACAATCAGCAGCAACAGTTGGTTCTGCAAGACTCGTCATCGCCAGTTCTAAGTGTTGAGGAAAACCTTGTTGAAAAGACCTTGCTACAAATACAAGATAAGGTTGGTGTTTCTTTACTGTATTTATTTTTTATTTGTATTTTAGTATTGATTAGTTTTTATTGTATTCATTTTATTTAATTTTTTGTTTACTTTATTTATTTATGACGTGCATCTGTATTGAAATGATAGTTTGAATTGTTGGAGCAGCTGGGGTTTGAAGGCTATGCCATATTTGTTAACACTGGTGCCCTCCAGACTCACCTACTAGCTACTAATAAAGGAAAGGCATATCACAAGCAGAGGCAGCAGCTGGGGAAACCTTTAGAGAATCCATTCATTGGATATGTATTCTCTGATAATGTATCAGGTAAGAGAGTGTAAAGAGAAAGAATTGTATTAGAATTAAGAGTGAGAGATGGTTTAAGTGAATAGGATAACAATTTTACAGGGTCTATGAACAAGGAACTAATTTTACACAATGTAATATGGAGAGGATTAATTTAATTAATACATGCACCAAATACTAATTCTACCCATTATATACCATTTTTGATTCTACCATTTAGAATTGATACCTTCATCTACTGGTATCCAAGTACCATCTCCTGTTAAAGTCCTAAAGCCTACTACACTGCTTCCAGCCACTGGTCCTGTTACTGCAGTCATCTCACCAGTTGTCAGTAATAGCAATGTATCATTGAATGTAGAGACAATGCAAAGGAGTGTTGCTAATGCTTTTGCTCTCAAATACAGTTAGTGTTTTTTACATGCAATGTACATGTACATGTAGCTCTACATATTGAGCAATGAATCCTGTGTTATATGAATGGTCATTGGTGATGTGCCAATATTTAAAGCCAAAATTACTAAGCCAGTGATTTAAATATTAATTTCAGCTTCTTAATATATTGTGGCTGCATGTATAACCCTGTAATATAGCCAGGAAAAAGCAATCGCTATAGCCCATGATTTTTCCAAAAATTGAAAAAATCACAACCAACAATACTTTCTGATACATGTATCATGCATATTGATTGTTTGTTTTTTTAATGCTTATAACTCAAAAACTATTTATCAGAATCAACTCAAACTTTCTACATAGCATAAGGACATCAATATGTATCAGAAAATGTAATAAAAATGGGGGTGGGGGTGGTGATTTTGGAGCCAATTTTTGAAAAAAACCATGGGCTATAGCCTTGGGTATTTTTCAAAATTTGGCTCATTTTTAAAAATGCTCATAACTCAAAGAATATTTGTCGGAAACAGCTCAAACTTTCTACATAGCATAAGGACATCATTATGAATCAGAAAATGTAATAAAAATTTGGGGTGATTTCGGAGCCAATTTTTGAAAAAAACCATGAGCTATAGCCTTGGGTATTTTTCAAAATTTGGCTCATTTTTAAAATTGCTCATAACTCAAAAAATATTTGTCGGAAACAGCTCAAATTTTCTACATAGCATAAGAATGTCATTATGTATCAGAAAATGTAATAAAAATTGAGAGTGATTTTGGAGTCATTTTTTGGAAAAAAACCATGGGTGTACTACATCTAAATCTTGTATTTTAATTATTACTATTACCATGTAAAATTCACAACTAGTGCATACATATATTACTATTTCCCTATGTCTGATGGGTGTCTCTTTTCTCTAGAGATATGTACCGGTCGAAGTGATTTGGCTTATGATAATTTGGAGGAATCTGGTGTTCAAGTATATGGACTACCTGAGGGAGTTCCATTCCATTCTCCTATTCTCTACAGTCAGCAGCAGCTCCAACAGATATTGGCCAACCAGGACAAGATTGTATTTTTAAAGATACCCAACTCTGTAAGTTTTATGTATGTATAATTGTACATGCAAATGTGAGTATTGAATCATTATTCTTTATTCTTCCTTTCATAGGAGGCTGGTATATCAGAGGTGGAGATAGAGCCAGAGAGTGTTGCTACATTAGTCCATGAGCACAGCATTCACTTGACACCTAATCCTGCAGCTGATGCATAAAAGGACTGACTTGTACCTGCACTTGCATTACCACACAAACACTGTTGCCTTTTTCATTGTATAGTACACAACAGGATCTCTTTGTATGTCTCTGCTTTCACAGTAAAATGAGTTTTTGACAAAAATAATTCATAACAATTTTCTTTTGGATCAAAGATGCAAAAGGAATTCTAACATTGGTTAGTACTTAGTAATGCTATAAGCTGTAGCTCTTTGTCAATCAATGGCTGAGACCATATTGATACTCTAAACAATCTTTTAGAAAGTAAAGGGGTGACCTTTTCTGGTCCAGTATAAACTTCCTGTTCTTGTTCAAACTTGAAAGTGTAGAAAAACAACTTTAAATTGCTACCAAACCATTATTTCAACAAGTGAAAAAGTGCATTTGTGTATTCTATCACAATCAGTAATTAATAAATTTCTATCATGTTCCATGATAACAAAAAATACTTGCTACAGGTAAGAAAAAATATAATCCTACAAAAAAATTGGCCAGTTTTCCTCAAGCCTTTTTAAAGACTATCAAATATTTTGGATAAGCTTGAGAGTCTTTCATTGCCACAAAAATGGTTGGATTCTGTTCCCTCTCCACTAAAGTGTCATATAAAATCTAAAGAAAAAGAGAAAGGATCAATTTTTAACAGTTATGTAGTATTAAGTGTGCATGTAATAAGTTTATTGTGATGGTCACAATGTACATGTATACACTTACATGAGGATTTTCTGGTATTGGTGGAGGCACTTTCATCTTCTCATTCCCTCGTGTTACCTTACAGACCAAAAGAGAACAGACCAATATACACTTTGAGCCATCTTTCTCAGCATGGGAGTATTTATCTTGCATGGAGTAGGAAGCATTCAGTGCAAAATAGACCCCCTTACCATACCGAGCAGCTAGAGGATAAGATAGAATAATAATCCAAGTATTTAAGATACTTGTATATAATGTAAGAATTACTACCAGCTAGTAAACCCATTATTATTCCTCTACTCTTGTACTCACCATTAGAATCAGCAGCATATCCTCTATTAAAACCAGTTGAGCAGATTGGCTCAACCTTGTCCCTCTTTGTTCCATGGAACAACTCCTTCTCATTGACGCTTCCCTTCCCATGAAGCATTGTCCATGTGCTCTTAAGACTCTGGTATCTGGCGTATTCCGACGGATTCTGTATCCTTTGGACCCGAGTTATGATGACATTGGATCCTATAGTCTCATTGAATCTCTTTGTTGCAGTAGTGTATTCATCACTGAGCTCATCCACGTCAAAGAAGGATACAACGTCTTTACCAATATTAGACAAATCCCAAGTATCAGGATAATCTGTTTTGAATAAAGCATTTAATGCAAAATTAAGCATGTGCATTTATGCTACTATACACACTCGGTATCCATGTGTGTTCATGTATAACAATGTAAAGACAAGCTGTATTTAAAAAAAGTTTCTGTTTTCACATGAAAACAAAGTAGTGTAAACATAGCCTAAATCTTAAAGACTAATACAATAATAAGACTTACCATGATGCACTTTCCTTCGTCTAGACACTGTTTTTGTCACTCTTGATATATCTTCAGTCTCCTCCATCATCCTCAGGTTCACAATGCATTTAATGCCATCAATCTCGAGCTTAACAAATTCCTCCTTTCGCTGATGAGCTACTTCAAGCTGCCTTGCCTGTTCTGCTTTATAAGGCTCCTCTGTGCCATCTCTATTAGTAACCAACCACTCAAACATGTGGAGTTGGTGCAAGAGAGCATTTAAGTTCATGATTCTCCTTTGTATGTCATTGCAGACCTTCTCTACAGCTCTCTCTTCTCCACTGACGAGTACTCTATTCAAACTGGCTTGAATATTAATCTCCACCTCTTGCTCAGAAGCAAACTTTAAAATACTCTCGCGATCAGACTGACTGAGAAGGTTAGTCATGTCACCAAGATCGACCATGTCATCGACTATTAAATCATCAATAAACCTGTACACATCTCTCTCTGCCTGACTCAACTTCTCGGCCACTGTACCGTGAATCCAAAAGCTAACCTTAAAGGTTTTTTGACCGGGCAACCCTCCAACGGTTGTTGTAGTCCTTTGTCTGGGTATTGCTACTGGCTGTAGAGTGACTGAAACCCCTTCAGGACCATTGGATGGATCAAGAGGGGTAACAGTTGCATCGGACGCAAAATATGTTGAGAAATAATCGCGATACTGAGGAAACAGTGCTTTATCTAGTGCATATACGCTCACTTCTTTGAGGTTCGATGGCTTAGTCAGAGTGAATTCTTTAATTGCTTCGAGAGTTGGTTCAGCTGATTCCTCCACTGTAAAGCCACCAATACCAAGACAGAATGCTGCAAGAGCAATAGAGGACTCTCCCTCTTCATCGGCCGTAGTTAAACAATTGGAAACAACTCGTTTGAGTGTTGAAGTTTCCTTGTCAGTGGGTGGTCTGTTCTTGGATTTCCCAGGAACATGAGCATGAATGATCTTATTACATCTCAGCAAACCACTGGCTGGAGTGGAGACTACAAATCCATCTTTGAGCAGGACTCCTTGATCCCTCAGACTCTTACAGGCTCTTTTTAAGTCGTCTCCAGCCGCTTTATGTATTGCCTTTGATATGGCATTAGCATCGTGTCTCATTTCAATTGATGTGCTATTGACTATCACATCTGCTGGAGCTTTAGTGACATCGCCATTGAACAATTGTATCTTCAAACTAGTAGCACCACCACCACCACCTTTTGATGAATCATCCTATTAAAGATAAAATATCTTTTCATAAATTGTAAACTATCATTTGCTCATTCATTCATTAATCTTATAATTTATTGTTACTAATTGCTCTTTCTCCTGCTCACAAACTTACAAAATGATGGACACTGTATTTGAGCTCCTGCAACTTCTTATGAAAAACCACTTTGTCTCTGTCTTTCTCGATAAATATCCCAACAGAGATATCATTATAAATACCAAAACTAGCAGATGAGAAATAATTGAGGAGAGACTGAGCGCAGAGTTCAACTGGATACTTGTGTGGAGGGCCAGTCAATGGAGCAATGATGATATCACGTACTCTCGGGCACACCTTCTCAAACAGATCATGCATTGAAGCATCAATTATTGTCCCAAGATTAGGACTCTTGCTAGAATACTTGGGAAGGACCACGTGATAGACTTCAGCATAATCCAGTTTACCTACAGTAGCACATTTGTGCACTGTAGCATCGATGAGACGTTGCCGTGCAGTAAATGCTTCTATTGTGCTTCTCATTTCAGCTCCACCTACAGCAGCTATTGAAGCCATCACTGGATCATCAACGGTTGTAGCATCACAGACAAATATTGCTAGTGCATCAGCTCTCTTTATGGCCAGGTCTCCCGTATATACTTTGATTTTGATGCCATTTGGTGAAGTAGCTCCAATCACGCAATGAGGTGTGTTGGCTAAAGCAGCTCCTCCTTTAGGAGCAAAGAGACGATCAGAGACTTCCTCAACTTGGAAGCTTATCTTTACATCATTATTGGCCTCAATTCCATTGCATTCGAACCTCACTGTTCCACGATCAATCAATTTCTTGAGGCCTACTTTGTGTGGAATTACTAATCGTCTCTCCTTGACTTCATCCACTAGCATTTGTAACTGGACCTTCACATGACTCACAGCTTTAGCTTCACCTTTGAGCAAAATGATGACCTCATCTTGACCTGGACCTCCTTTGGTAGGAAAGGTGAGCTTTACTTTTTGCTTCTTGGCTGTCTTCTCGATTTCTTTGCATTTATGCCCATCCCCTATAATCTGCCACACTGTACTCTTAACTGCCAGTTTATCTGTGACTGCATTTTGCGTGTTTAGAAACTGCTTGATCTCATTCAGGACTGCATTCATTATTTTATCTTCTCCGGTCAGAAGCACAAACTCATTGGCAACAATGCTAATCCTAACAAAATACTGATCTGTTAGTTTGGCACACATGGTACCCCATTCCTGACTTGTGCAGAGAGCAGCTTCATCAGGTGAAAGTGTCAGCTTCTCTTCTACAATGAGAGAGCTAATACATTTCTTAGCTGCAGCACACGGAACAATCTCAGGAGAGAGGATGCATATTTGTGCTTGGAAGTCGTGATGTGTATCAGTTTTTTCAAAAACATACAGAACAGAGTGTTCTGTAGGTCCTAGTGCTTTACTGATTTTAGTTCTACCGTCGCGACTCTGGAGTAGGTTATTGGCTGATGTGGTTAATGGTATGGTCTCAGTGAATGCACCTTTTATCTTCTTCTCTGCCAGATCCTCCACTTTATCAAGAGACTTCTTCACGCCATGGACAGTAACACAGCCTGGTCTCCTCTCCCTTTCATATTCTATTTTTACTGGAGGACGAACCGACTTAATGTCATCATTCGCAAACTTGAGTATGTACTCAATATAACGAGGGTGCTTCTCCAGTTGTAGCGTTATCTGGATTTCTTCTTGTGTCATTTTTTCAAGCTCTGTGGATGCTTTACGTAATGTTGCAGAATGACCACATATTTTAATAAGAGCTGGAGGATGAAAGCTATAATGAAGATCAGGATGAACATTTCTTATGCTTTCAATGTAATCTATTGCTTTTGTCTGCACTTCTGCTGGCACTTTTATTTCTGCACTCTCAAAGTCCTGAGAGTACTCATCAATAACACGTCTGACTTGTACATCCCAGTCATCAATATCGTTTGCTCCAGCAAGTGGCTCTACTTCAAGTGAACTTGGACCGACACGAAGCTTCCCTTCGATCAGTTTCTCGTTTATTTCTTTCGTGTAGTGCATATAGTAGTCCATTGCTTCACGAGATATGGCTTTCCTGTATGAAGTCCAAGAATATACTGCTCGTGGAGGTATAGGTGGAGGAATGATAGAAGGAGGAATGATAGGAGGAGGGGGAGAAGGGGATCGAGCTGGTTTAAGTAATGGATTGTATTCTTCCGCAATAAACTGATGCTTTCCTACAGAGTGAATGCGTGAGAGACTAAACATCTTCTGCTGGCCTATAAAAAGAAAAAATAATGTCAAAGTCTATGTTATCTGTCACATTAAAAAAGCTAAATAATAATCTCTTTGTCAATTAAATACATGTAACTTACTTTCTCTGGTGTTGAAAGTGACAATATAGCAGCCACCCTTTGTTTCATCAAGTTCAACAATATTATCACCAAACTGTTCACAATACATTTCAATAACATGTCGAGGAATAACATCAGAAGTTAAAGGTTCAATCCGGACACTTGTAGATGGCTTCAAGACATCAATATTGAGAACAACTTTGCCATTAGGAAAAGGTTCCTTCATAGCTTTTCTTCTAAGTTCTTTAACATCTACAATGTACATGTATATGTAAATTAAGGTACAATGAGATTCTATAGACTGTGTGAGTTGCATTTCAGAGCTATTATAGAGTAAAATATAAAGTTCTTACCAATTGACTCTTTCAATTCAATGACAGCAATACCAGTTTCTGGGTTGAACTGAGGGTCCATACAAACTTGGCTACCATGCAGTGCATCAATATACAATTTTATACTATAATCAGCTGTATTGAGAGGTATCTCCTTCACCACTATAAAACTAGAAACACCACTACAACGGGATCTGCTATTAGTAACAGGAGCCCCATCATAAGCATCAGGAGGATTATAAGGCTCTACAGAAAGTCGTTGGCCAGGATAAGGAGAGATCTCAATACTTTGCTGCAGCAAAGAGACATCTATGCATAATGAAAAATGTACAATAAAACTGAATTATAGCATTGCAGTCCTATGCTCAGGGTTTCCCACAGGATTGTGGCATAGTGTGGCTCATGTAGCTTCTTTTTAGTGGATTGCAAAAATTTGGCCATAAACCTGTACTGTTGGGCCATAAACCTGTACAGGGTATTTTAACAAAAATCACAAGGAAGAAATTCTCCATTATTTTTTTCTGATACACATACATGCTCTTATGTTGTGTAGAAAATTTGAGTTGGTTTTGATTAAATTTGAATTTTTCATGAATTTTCAAAGTTGCTCCAAATGCCATGAACATGTACTAGCTGTATTTGTAGTGCCTGTCAGCTCATGAAGCATGCCATTTAGCTCACTTAGCATGCTTTGTAGGAAACCCTGCTTACAGTATATTATGCAGAAAGTGATTATAAGCATTACATTTATCTTCAAGACAAATGAATAAATACATTGTATTTTGCCCATAAAGTCATTCTCCATACCTGCTTTAGTATTGAGCTTTACAATAGCTGAGGCCCCACCATCTGTCATCTGTGGATCATCACATTTCAATCCAAATCGATTGAGGTATGCTTTAAGCATCCAGCTCTGACTACCAGAAGACAACCCACTGACTATGATATTGTCAGTGAGATTGTCAGAGCTACATGTAGCTTCATTCAAAGGAGCACTGTTCGGTCTATAAGGCTCAATGACTAGCTGCACTTGATCTTTACCAAATGGACAGCCCAGTGACTTTTCTTTCAATAACTTCACATCTATTTACAATCATTAAAGAAATAAAGTATAATAACTTTCAGTGAATGAAAAATAAATAATGTGTGTGTACAAGTAGTATCAATGAAGCTTTAATCATAGCTTATATGAAATACTGAGGTTATTTTATAAATACTATCATATTACTCACCTATTTTATCATCAAATTTGATAACAGCTGCTCCTACTCCTTTCCTTTCACTGATGCTGGACTTAACTCCACACAAAAAATAGAAGTACGTCGAAAGATGACTCTCATCCTCTTCCTGTGGTATATTCTCAACAATTATCAAGTCAGTTAAGGACCGAGGTTTAGCTACAGGCCTTTTCATAGCGGCTGGTGATGTGTTGATACGCTGTTTTGGAGGAGGTTGGAGACTACCTATCAGAAATAAAAATACAATTTATAATTGTATGTACATGAACATACACGTACACATAAAATACATGTACATGTAGAATTGAATAGCAGAGCTATTAATTTCATTCCAAACTTACTCTTATATTCAGACATGTCACTGGGTACTGATTCAGAGTGCTTTAGAGTCACTTTGAGTTTCTGACCATAAAAAGAGGAAGAGGGAGGAGCTTGAACAACCCTTTTTGCATCTGAAGAAAAGTTATAAAATTTTAAAATTGGGTAGCTATTTGGACATGTACATGTACGTGTACATGCATGCATTGTCTTTAACTGGCACAAACTCTTTGTGTACAGTAAATGTGCATAGCATGCTTCTATTAGTTGAGACAAATAGCTAATATAGAGCTGTGCTGCAAAAAAAACTGCCAAAAAGAACTCCCGCTATTACATGGATATACACATGTACATGTACATGTACATACCTTCAGGATTATGATAATAAAGATATCCTCTTCCATTCTTAATCTCACAAGAAGCTACTGATGAATTTGTGGTTTTATTCATAAAACTAACCAAATCATCATCAATTTCATCAACGTCAGGCAGGTTCTCAACCACGACGTGAGGCCGAGGATCAACAGGTTTTGGTGAAGGAGCCGGTCCAGTTGAATAAGTGATAGGATGACCTAACAGCTCGCTATTGTCAGGTGGATTTGAAACTAGTTGTCTGACAGCTGGTGAATAGAATAAACAAAAATAAAGAATTGAATTATATCATCATTCTTACATTTGTTATCTTCAAAAGTCATATGAGCTTCAGTTCCCTTTATAATGCAGTCCTTGATTATATGCCCTTCAAACCCAAGGCGTCGCTTTAAAGAAACCTTCACTTTGGCCTCAGGCATGCCACTTGGAAGACCACGTATGACTAATACCTCCTTCTCACTTAGTCTCTTCTTAAATTCAGCAAAATATTCCAGAGACACAATACGACACTCAATGGGGTAACCATTTAGGATGCTTAGTGGCTTATTCTCTAAAGCAATGATTCCTATAAAGGTTAATGATTGACACGATAATATAAATTCTAGGAACTACAAAGTGTAACATTATTCATTATAATTGATAATGAATAATATTATACACTTGCTACTGTAGTTGCTACTTGCTAGTACACACACTGTATGTATCTTATGCAGCTATTGTCATTACTTTGTGCCAAAAAATTTACTTGTTATTATTTACCATACTTTCTACTTCTTCTCTCCTTCCCTCTTTCTCTCCTTCTAACCTTGTTCAGAAGTAAAAGTAAAACAAGCAGTTGCTCCATCAACAAATATTTCATCAATCTTATAAAGTTCCTCGTTAAAGCGACCTCGCAACTGTCTTTCGAGTTCATTACCACTTCCGTATTCACTAGTAACTTCAACAGCTTTCCTACTACCACCACCAGCAACATGCATGCTTGGAGGAATTCTTGAGGAACTTGAATACGAATGGACTGGAGACCGATTATAAGATCTGATGCTGTTGAAATTGTGTGGTGGTGGAGCCTCCTGACTCACCACCTTTATTTGGCTATATGAATTGACCTCTTCATCAACTAGTAGCTCTTCATCAACTTGTAGCTCATCATCAATCACTCTCATGCTGCCCTCCTCAGGAACAGGGGGCTCTGACTCTTGAAAGTGCACAGGAGTTTTTTTCAGAGTGAATGTCTTGCTTACAAGGTAAGGTAAATCTAAAGGAAGTAAGACAGGGCGAATGAGTGAAATGTAACTATAATCAAAACATTGAAAGCAGTATGATGACATACAACACTACAACAAAAAATAATGGATAACATTACAGTTTCACACCAAAGCACACACACAGACACTGCTTTACCTGTAGCATTTTCTAAAACAACTTTAATATCGTTTCCATCTCGTGATACTTCAGCATTAATTCTTTCAGTATCTTCCAGGATATCTTGAACATAATCAGGACTGACTCTAGGAGGATTGCGTAAAATTGCAATTGATTGTCTTCCAAAATGATGGATCCATTTCTTTACAAAATGAATGTTTTGATCAAAAGGAAACATACCATCGACCTCTCTTACCACTAAAAAATCATAAAAATAGTAGAATAAAATCTACATGTACTGTACATGCATCATTTATTGTGCCATATTAAAAGGTGTAAACAAGTTAAAAGTCTTCAGCTCTAACCTCCTTCATTGGGTGCTGAAATTAAAATCAAGACAATTCCATCATCTTTAAGAAACCTTATGCCCTCTACCTTCACACCGAGCTCCTTGTATTGCTGAAACGCTTGAGTGAAAGCACCTTCTACAAGCTGTTCAGTAAGCTGGTCAGTGTTGAAGGAGAGCTTGTAAGTTACATTTAGCTGAACGTTATGAAAAATCCTACTATCCTCCATGGGTCTCTCTGCCACAAGACTGTTCCAGAAGAGTGGAGTGTACAAGAAACGAGGCCGAAAGAGATAGAGGCAGGTTCAAGGCGTGGCTTTTACTTTTTAAAGTTTTTTGCAATAACAATAATGATCATAATGCTAAAATGTTTATTTTAAGTTTCCTCTTCCTTCTTTTCTTCAACAGGAGGAGGATCAGATACTTCTTTTTCATCTAAAAAAAGTGTAAAAATTATTAATGATTATCTTGGTCTTACCTTTACCTTCAACAGGTGCTCCTTCACCTTCACCTTCTAAATTCGTAGACTTTTCACCATCTAGTTCTGCAGGAACATCTGCTGGCTTGTCTCCCTCTTCTATAGGCTTCTCTCCTTCTTCTGCAGGCTTGTCTTCTGCAGGCTTCTCTCCTTCTGCAGGCTTGTCTTCTGCAGCGGGCTTATCCCCTTCTTCTGTAGGCTTATCCCCTTCTTCTGTAGGCTTATCTCCTTCTTCTGCAGGCTTATCTCCTTCTTCTGCAGGCTTATCTCCCTCTCCTCCCTCTTCAGTGCTAACAGGTTTATCTCCTCCCTCTTCTGCAGGCTTCTCTCCCTCACCTGCAGGCGTTTCAACTTCAGTTGGTTTATCTTTATCTGCAGATGGTTTGTCTTCTTCTCCAGAAGGCTTATCCTCAGCTCCTTCACCTGTTGGAGGAGGAGGTTGCTCCCCTTCACCTGTTGAAGGAGGTTGTTCTCCTTCTACTGTTGAGGGTGGTTCTTCTTCAGTGGCTGGTGGTTCTTCTTCATCCTTAGGGGTAGGAACAGGAGTGATGATACCTAAATTCCTTTTAACAGCTCTTCGTATAATAGCTAAAAAGAGTAGAGGAGAGAAAGGAGCAGGGAATTAGATATAACAATAATAATATTTATTTGTGCATACTATCAAGCAGATATCTGGCAGTTAGTTTCTTATCAAGTATTTTCTGTGCTTCTGATGTTAGCCATGGCATCAATGTTGTCTCAATGTCTATAACAATAAATACAGCAAATGATCAGTTACATATAATGTTCTCTTGTGATGGTGAATGATTAATTAAAATGTTATAATACTGCATACTTCTCTGTATAGGATCATAAAAGAATCCTTTGTTGCTGAGGTTAGTGAATACTGCTGGCACAAGGTCTGACAAGTAACTGTGTGCAAATGCTCTGGCAGCAACTTTCTCTGCTGTCTCTTTCTCTTTCATCAGAGCTTCTCTTTGTTGCTGCATTCGTCTCTCCTGGGATTTGATAAAATACATAATTAATAGCATCCCCCCTCAACAAACCTTTTCTTCTCGTCGGCGTCTCTCTTGCTCCTCAAGTCTCTGTGTCTCAATGAGTTCAGCATTCCTGTTCCCTTCAAATATCCTTTGCTGTTCCCTGAGCGCAGCCAGTTCCTCTTCCTCCATCACCTCCAAAAGAGCTTGCTCTACAGTCTTCCCAACCAACACTTCAAGAATTGGCTGGACCTCAAGATCAAAGTTAAAAAGCTGAAGGAGAAAAGAAAGCGGAAATGCAGTGATCATGAGGAATGCACTTAAAGTCATGTTTATTACTTACATCCCCCTCTTCTATTTGAGTGGCAACGTCCATTCCGGTTTTAGCTGGTATAAAGAGCGGTGTAGGTGGCCTATCCAGGAAAGCATCAGTCTGTGTGTGGACATCAACCTCCTCCACCCTATCAGTGATCTCTTCAAGGTAGAGCTCGGTCTGTACATCAATGTGTTTCCGTCCCTCAACTGGAGGAGGTGAGTGGATCCTCATCTGTTCTCTGGCACGCTTGTGAGCAAGGACTCGTCTTCGTGTCTCTTGTTGTTTTTGGAGCTCTAGAGGATTGGGTTGAGATGACTGAGAGAGAGAGAGAGAAAAAAGAATATAAAGGAATTATTTATGACTTTCACAAGTATACATAACTTACTGCTGGGAGTGTATGGAGTGCATATGTATTTCCACGTACTACACGTTTATCATACATTATGTTACAAGGTCTGTATGTTGGAAGCAACAAAGATATAATTCAAAATATTTATGAGTTTTATATCACACCTCACGGTATCTACTTCTCTGTATTTCTGTTGCTGGTGGACAGTACGGGGTTGAGAGGAATAGCTGTAGGCACCAGCGCTCTCGGGGTTCCTCGTCACAGTCCCAGTCGCCATCAATTTGAATTTATACTTACTGGCAAGAGAGAGAGAGACAAGTAGAGTTTAGCTTTTGTTGTGTTTCTATGGCAACACATAGCAACAGGGTTGCTATGGATACCCCCGTTACCATGCGCGTTAATTAGAGTAAGGGAAATAGACAAAGATCTCGACATAGACAGCATTTTTGCTCCTCGGATTGCTCTCCTTGAGAACTTCTTAAGAACCCATGAAAGAGGAATAACTCTAGTACAATGGGATACGAAGTGGAAAGATTCGTGGGAGTAGTCGACGAGGAGCTTTTCTGTCCTATCTGCGGTCTTGTCTTAGACTCTCCACTACAGATCAAGGACTGCGAGCATTGCTTCTGTGGGTCTTGTATAGAAGAATGGTTGAAGCATCAGCGAGTCTGCCCTGTTGACCGCACTCCCGTCCCACCTAGCTGCGAGGGATCCTCTCTCACTAGCGCTCTCGGGCCAGCCCCTAGGATTCTCAGAAACCTCCTCTCCAGGCTGAGGATTAAGTGTGAGAATGAGGTCTTTGGTTGTCAGACCGTTACTCATCTCGAAGGACTCCAGTTACACCTAAACCAGTGCGAGTATAATCCACGGCGGCCGGTTGAGTGTGATAGAGGCTGTGGTAGTGTCGTACCAATGGACGAACTCACCCAACACAACTGTATCAAGGAACTGAGAGAGAAGATAACGAACCAGTCATTGGTCATAAAGACACTTTCCGATCAAGTTAGTATCTTGCAGCAAGAGCTATCGGACCAAAGACAAGAAATGACAATACTTAAAGAGCTCGTACGTTCGTCTGCCTCCTCATCCTCAAACTCTCTGAGGCACACGCTATCACTCCTTCCTCCTCTTCCCCCTCTCTCCTCTGCCTCTCCCTCCTCGGTCTCCTCCTCTCAGTCTAATTACCCTGACGAAGTAGAGCATGCTATCCAGACCTCACAATGGCTCTCACTACTGAGGCCGGCCAGAATACGCCACTGGGGAGGGATTATAAGTACGCCCGACTCCATCTTACAGTCCATCATACGTCAGGCCCTCTCATCAAGTGGCTGTCCTCAGTATTTACTAGTTGAGCTAATGGCTAACGCACACGAGAGAAGATGGCCGCCAGGGCTGAGCGTCCTCGAGACAAGACAATTGAACAGGTCTCGCTATGAGCAGTACGTGACTAAACAAGTCCCTGGGAAACAGGCAGTCGTGATAATGGCTTCCGAGAATGAGCACATGGGGGATAATATGATAGTGTCTCCAGGGATGGTCATCATATTTGCTCATGGAGTAGACTGAGACACACTTACCACCTGACATGGATGTGTGGTTTGGGTTTAAGCTCTTTTGATTAGAGACTATGTAATATCTTTGAGAAGTTAATTGATGAGTCAGTGCTGTTATCTTCTTATGATTATGATTATCATCATCATCATCATCATTACAACCTATTATTATTAACTATTATTATTTAAAAAAATAATTGTATGATAATTATGGTTAGCTACTACGAATTGATTTTGGGATCTGTTACAAAAGCTATACAATTTTGTGAGATGTTATTAATCAAACAGCTGCCATTATTTACTATGCATCAGTTACAGATAAGTAACCACATGTCCAAAGGAAAAGGGAAAGATGTACACATTCCATTCCACATTCCAATGATATTTTCCCTAGCCAGCCACACCTTTTGTGGGTGTGGATAATACCGTATTATCCGCATAATTAAGAGTCCTGATCTTTCTTATAATGAGACTAGGCATGGTCGTTTGTCTTTTAGACTGATATACACTGCTCCAGGAGCCAGCCAAGACTTTATAACACAATCTGCCACAGTTTCTACTCTTGTTTTTACTTCACAGACCTCTGGACTTTATTTCAAACTGTACTTTTCAGCCATAACGGGACAGCCATCCTTGAATGAGCAAGAGAGAAAGGACTGCAAAGGAGGAGGATTAAACCAGTGCCTCTTATCAAAACCACTCAACAATCACCCTTCACCTCTCTGACTCGCCCTACCCCTCTCTCTCTCTCTCTCTTTCTCTCCACTCCTTCTAGTTATTGATAGAGGAGATTCCATGTACAGTAAGTCATGGAAGACAGCACCATATTCACACAACAGTTCATTGATGCTATCAAGAAACCAGTCTCATCACGGACATCACAGGCAAGAGAGCCACAAGCATACATTATATTACCACTAATAGTCAGCCTATTCCGAGATGGCTAGTGTTAACTTGCATTGTTTTCATTAAGTTACTAAAGCAACATTATATTCTAACAGACACACTTTCATTTCTAACTGCTTTTCCCTTACATGCTTCAAACCTTCCCCTCCTGGTTCAGTTTCTGTATCAACCTCAACTTTCCCTCTTTTCTGCCTCATTTCAAAACACTTTGCATGCATATACATGTACATGTACATGGCATGAACTGTTTTCTACTACTTAATGTTTTAAGTTTTTTCCTGTAATTCCTTGTACTACCCTAGAGGGATTATCCTCTACTGCTGATGTACACACATTCATGTACACTGCCCTTTCCACGCCCACATGCCTGACTAATATGAGCTCTCCTGAGACTGTGTAAACTCCAACAAGAGTGTCATGTGTGTGTCTGTACTGCATATTATTGTTTCTTACTATTGTTATAGTAGAGAATAATACTAGAGTTGCTATACTCCCTCTCTCTCTGACTTCTTCTCATTCCTCTCTCTCTCTCTCTCTTCTTGCCCACTTGTTTCCCTTAATTTTGTCCTCCTGCTGTCTTGTTTCTGTCTTGTTGCTTTAGCCCTTGTATTTTAATTGTGCGTCTACTAAAGTAACACTATCCAGTTTATCATCTCTCTCCATATGTGTGCATACGTAATTAATGCTTATATGCTCTTTCTCTTCCTATAAGTAGTGTGTGATTATGGTGTATATTTTAGCTAATGTACATAATGTATTAGTCCATTTTGTACATATTAGCCATTTAATCTCACCGTGTGCATACTTTGTTGTTCCACTGCTAATTCTACTGTGCATCCATGTTTATGTACATGTGTGTGTATTATTATTATTATTATTATTATTACCCCACTTGCTAATACCCTATATACAGCACTAGTACATGCATGTATAACTAGATGTTTGTGGCTTTCTGTTGTTTATTAGTCTCCTACAGTGGGTACATTAATAATAATAACAGCTTAGTAGTTATAATAATAGAAGTGTCTCCTAATTGTAACTTAAGTTGTACATCATCAGCTATGAATATCATTCTGTTTTCTCTTTATGATGTCCAGGAGAGTGATTACATTTGTCATATTTTGAAGAAGCTAAGTGAATTCCAGACATTTGACAGTTCTTCCTTGAGGTAGGAGTTTCAGAGAGAGAGAAAGAGGGAGAGAAGTAGAGATGAGGATGAATTAGAACTAAAATGCCAATGTCATCTTTGTTTTGATTATATTCCTATATAGGACGGTATTGAATCAAATCACATACGAAGTACATCCAAACAACACTGAGCTCTATCAGTGAGTCAAAGCTTCTTTATTATAAACTCCTTATCATTCTTATCATACTTTCAAATTTTATCCATCTTATTTTTCCCCTTATTCCTCCTTTCTCTCTCCCCCTCCCTCTCTCTCTCTCTAGACCTGGTGACATAGCCTCATCATGGTATTACATTGTCTATGGCAGTGTGCTAATATCCACGTACTACACGTATGGAGCTGGTTGCAGCTTTGGACAGTGCATTGATACTAATCTAAGAACAGATACCTGTCTCGTCACTAAAGAGAACACTGAGCTGTTAAAAGTAATAATTGTACATGTACATGTACGCGTATAAATTATACTGCATATAACTACATTATGGTATACATATTGCTGATTCATTGTCAGTTGTTATTCACATTTGACGTTCTGATACTGTTAGTCTGTCACACAGAAACAAACACAAGCACACAGGCACACACTATACTGTTATACTGTACACTGTGTTAGGGCACATTTCATTGCTTGTATACTGTACACTTAATCACTGTTTATATGCTCTACATTATTGAGGAATTTATTCTGTTCCAGTGAAATGTTTTGCACTCACACACACACACACTGGCATTTGTAAGGTGACATACACATTACACATGCACAAACAGTAGCACATATACTCAGTTTTGATAAATGTATTGTGTTTTGTAAGCTGATGGATTGTCTGTGTTATATATTCTGTCATAGAATGGAGACAAAATAATGCATAATGTAACATAAAATAGAAGTAGATTTATTTCACTATCAATAAAGTACTGTATTAGGGACTCCATAGTACATGTACTTCTGCCTCTTGTTTAGTTAATCTTTCCCTTTTCTCTTTCTCTTCCTCCTTTTCCCACTTCCCCTTCCTCTCCCTCTCTCTCTCCCCCTCATACTCAGATCAGTTACACTGATAAGGAATTGGATAGATTTATGCGAAGAGCTAAAAATAGCACAGCGACAGGATCCCTGACAAACAGTTTAGAAATGACACTCACAACCTCAGCAGGGACACAGGGCAGTGCCCACACTAACAGTGGAAGTATCACTCCTACTCACTGTACTAATGCCAATCATCAGTCCAAGGAGGAATCAGTGAGCCTCTCTGATGGAGAACTGCTAGGAGATGAGAAGAAACCATCACACAAGGTTTGAATGCATGGAACGTGTTGTGTATTAGAGAGAGAGGGGGGAGAGTGAATATATTACATGTACATGTACATGTGTATTAGAGGGAGAGTGAGTGAATGTGTAAGGGAGAGATGCGCATGTAAGGGAGGAATAATGTGAGAGAAAGTGAAAGATGAAGGGAGAGAGAGAGAGTTGATATTTTTACTCTACGTCATGTATTGATTCTAATTCACAATACTGCATGACGCAAGTAAGTAAATTCTTATTTTAATCCTATTTAGAATTATGTAAATATTTTCTTGCACACCTATAAACTCCGAAGCCACAGAACTATAAGAACTATCATATACCCCTTTATAATCCATGCACTGTACGTTTACTTACATGTATATTATTATTTAGTATTCGTTGGATAAGAGTCTGAGCACTGAGTATGCCTCACGTGACGTATGGGGCTTAGAGAAACTGGACCCGCTGGATCACATTGGTAACCATGATGATGAGGACGAGATTGAGATAGAGAACGACAGTCGGAGGATGAGTCAAAAGCACGGCCACGCCTCCAAGGACGATCAACAGTGAGCCTTACCTAATGTATCAACCATGTGCCTGACGGAATGCTAAATAGTTTTAGATTTGATGAGAAAGACGTTAAAACTTTATCTGTTTCCAATGATAGTCTTCACAGAGCTCTTGAAGATGATCCACTGACTGGAGGAGAGAGAGAGAGGGAGAGAGGGAGGGGGAAGAAGATACCAGCAACTGAAGTGACCCTTAGGGACAGGAGGAAGGTCGCTCATAGGAGAAGTGCCCCTCCTACTAGTCAAAGGTCACTCAGAGACTCGGTTGGATCTTTGGATTATTTGTCGGAGAGTCAAGTCGATATCGATTCTGATGATGAAGAGTCGGCACATTCTGAGGTGGGCGTGGGTTTCGAACTAGTGGTGGGTGTGGTTTCATAATTAGTATCGTTTTATATTGTAAATATTATGCATTAGTAAAAGTATGCATCTGCTGTGTGTATGTGTGATATTTATGTTCTTGTGTGTTGTGTATAGACATCAAGCTCCCCAGGGATGGACTCAGTATATGAAGTATTGAATAAGCCACCTCCTGAGAGAACTGATGAGGACATTGGTCAGTGTACAATACATGTACATGTACATGTAAATGTGTAGTAAATTAGTAATATTATTTAATAATGTTAACATTGATTTTTTTTTTCTCCTTCTCATTCAATCCAGAGAGAGTCACTGATGTTCTCCAGTACATGCCTGTTAGTTTAAACTGATATATATTTATTATTATTCAGATATTACTGACATTTTGTTCTTTCTTTGTAGGCGTTTTCCAACATGACCTCCAACATTCGCCGAGCTTTGTTTCAGGTTCTGTTACTGACTACATTTCCTGAGGAAGGGAGCGTTGTTGTTGACAATGGAGAGCAAGTACTTTGATAATAATATAATTATATTATATTTATTGAATTACATAGAGTATATAAACTATATTCAATAATCATTGTATACATAAGTACATACAAATGTATTATTCTGTTATATATTATTGTTGTTATGCTGTGTGATTCTAATTCAATGAAGTAGTGATCATATTTTTACTCTCATACATGCACCTACCCTTTCCTCCTGTTACATGTACATGTACCTTTTTCCATTGCATGTACATGTACCTTTTTCCATTGCATGTACATGTACATGTACATGTACATTATCATTTAGTTTACATGTATACTTTACTCTTTCTTCCTATTCTCAGGTCAACAAGTGGTTTGTTGTTCTCCATGGTCAGGTAAGGCAGATCAGGGACTCTGAGACTGACAAGATATTTCATATCGGAGAGACTTTTGGAGTCTCAAAGAGCCTTAAAGTCCTTCCCCACAGAGGAAAGCTTGTGACATCATCAAAGGATTGTCAAGTGAGTACATGATGTGGCCTGACACACACACACTCACGTGAATGTACATGCACACATGTATGTATCTTCTATCACCTTTTTATTAGATTATAAGTATATTTGATATTTTGATGTATGCATACACAATTACCATGTACACTGTAATACATATATTGTACATACACTGTACATCTAGATATGGTTCGTATGTATTGTACTGTATGTAGTATAAGGGAGTATATTATGATTGTGTAATGATGACGATCAAATCATAAAATCACAACAATTTGACACTATAACATTATTACATTCTTGTTTTGTCTTTATAGACTCCTGCACTACACATACACATCACACACAATGTGCTTACAATTGTCACATACATGTACTGAAATGTCATATTATATCAAGGAACTGGTTGTGCATGTACATGTGGGGCTTTCCATGTATTGATTGTACTGTATGGCACAAAAATTGTTTATTTTGTCTGAAACTGTTAATGTTTAGTATAATTATTATGATATTTACTTTCATTCTGTTTATTAAACCAATTGATGATACGTGTTTATGTTATACACTCCTCCCTACCAATTAAATATTATTTTCTCCCTCCCTTATCTTTTTTCTGTTACTCTATATCTATTTCCTCTCTCTCTCTCTCCCTAACTCTTCTTTCCCCTCTCTTCTCTTAGTTATGTTATGTATCCTCAGAAGAGTATGGTAGAGTCCTGGCTCAAGGAGAAGAGAACTTAAAGAGGATAGAGGAAAACGGTCAAGTGGTGGCAGTACTAGAGAAGAGAGCTGTCTCTGCCAAGAGAGAAGGATATTTTGTAGTTCAGGTCAGTTGTTTTGAATCACAAGCACTGCACTCACACATCATTCGATTAGTACATGGTATACTATTAAATTTGCTAATACATACATAGTACACTGTACTCTATTAAGAGGATGTTTGTCACTGTAGAGACGTATGTTATGTACATACATGTACACACTTGTAGTAATAATAAGTGTCAAGTTGTACTAGCTAGTGCATCGTATAATGTGTTGTGTATCAGTTAGTATGAGGAGTAGATCTGTGTATATAGAATGTGTGGGGTGTCATATAATATGATGCTTGTTGATACAGAATATATTATATTATTTATGTGTATGTATATATACGTGTACATGTATGTACATGTATATGTATGTACATGTATGTATGTAGAGTGTGTGTAGGTGCTTTACCTCCTCCTTAGCTGGTTTTGTGGGAGTTGCTCTTATTGTCAGTAGTAGATGCCAACTGGTCCACAGCTGCTCTTACTCATCCATGTGTGCTCCCTAGCCAGTCACACACTGGGGCCCTCTATTCCTTGTATTCCTTGTATTCCTTGTATTCCTTGTATTACTTGGAGGCTTAATTGTGTTTTCTCTGTGAATGTTACTTGTATGTCCTTGGGTGTGGATGTTTATTAACTGCATGTATCATGTACATGTACATGTATGTAGATCTATACACAGAATTATGTACACTATAGCTGCTGTACAAATATCTCATGTTACACAGAGCGAGTATATTGTTTGTTCCTATGTTTATCATTATTCTTATTTATAAACAAACTATGTTTAATGTTATTAGCTTAATAATCCTTCCTTTTATGGGTCACCTCCTGTCCATGCCCTCCCTTTCCTCTTTCTCTCTTCCTCTGAGACACCAAAATATTAATATAAATGTATGCCTCTTGCTACAGAAAGATTTAGACTTATAAGTACATTGTACATGTACTGTTACATCTTTATTTATACACATTATTTTAATATTAAGATATTAATATTTTAATCTACATCATGTACATGTACATGTACATGTATGTATTTTTAAATTTCTGGACCATTTTACCTTCATTTGTACTGAACACCCTATAAATGAATCATAATGAAAATAATCAATATTGATAAAAATAAAAATATAAATTTATATCTTTACATTAGGCAACCCCACAGAAGTTATTAGACTACCTATTGGAGGAGGGTGTGGATGACACCTTCCATTCTGATTTCTTGCTCACGTATCGTTCATTCTTTGATTCCATTGATCCAATTGTATCAAAGATCAAGGATACCTGGAGCAAAGGGCTGCCAGAGCAACGGGAGAGAGTAAGTGGGGTGTGTCTGGGGGTGTGGTTATTATGAGAGGGTGTGTCCTTAGATCACGATGATAGTCTTGAATTGGGTCAGTGAGCATTATGCTGATTTTGAGGAAGATGATTCGTTTCTCGATTGGTTTGAAGAAGTTTTGATAGAAGAGGTACAATTAATGTACATGTACATATACATGTATATAATCTCTGTACTCTATAACATTAATACACATGTACATGTACATGTATGAATTTAATTGATTGATTTATTTATTTTTAGAGTAAGATTGGTGAGAAGAGGATTCTTGACGAGGCAAGGATATCTAATGCTAAATATCGAACTATTCAAATGGTACAGTTTATCTACATGTACACATGTACATTATAGCTGCATGTGTCTACTCTACACACATACATGTACATGTACATGTATACGTGCATGTAACTGTAACTGTCTTAACTGTCTTGTAGTAATTCATGTAAAAAAACTTGTTATTTTACAACTTTCATACATAATAGTTTGATTTTGTCTAGTCAACTATGCAGTATTTTTGTATTTCTCTACATGTATATTTATTTTATTTTCTGTACCAGGAGAGAGATGGCATTAATAGTCCATTGGATTTCTCAGTGGTCGGTGGGTGGGAGCTAAGACAACCGATATTTGTCTCTGAGATAGTTCCCAACTCGATTCCGGCACAAGAGGGACTTAAAGTCGGCGATCAAGTGAGCAATAAACCTGTTTAACCTGTTTATGGAGTTATTTGTACTAGATACTGTCAATCAATGATACTAAATGTGAAGGAAAAGAACTTAGAGAGGTAAGAGAAGAGAAGGAGAGAGAGGGAGGGGGAGAGAGTCAGAGAGAGGGTGGGAGGGGGAGAGAAAGAGGGAGAGAGAAAATTTGGAGAAAGCTACAATGTAAGAGAGTATAGTAGAAACTATAGAGACAGTGGTAAAATTGTGGTGTCATTGTTTTTGTATTGTTTTAGGTCTTGCAAATACTTCAAAAGAATTATAAACTAGAAATAGTTGTTAAATTCAGTTTACCAAGTAAGACAAAACCTTGTTAGTTTTGAAGCCATTTTTAAAACCTCTTCTCTACTCCTCCTCTTCTTTACAGAGTTTAAGCAGTTTATGCTTGAGCCCCAACATGTTGAAGTAAGTCAATAATACATTATCTACATTTACATTGTATAATGTAATAATGAATGATATAATATAAGATAGTTAGTTTTAACAAAAATCTTTTCTGTGAAGAATTGTTCATTTTTAAGAGCATCAATATGTGGTTTTTATAGCCATTTCCTTAAACGACCTTGTGCTCTACATGGTCCTTGGAATGTTCTTTTTGAATGCTCGTAACTCTCTAATTGATCTGTTATTAATTGAATTATCATTATTAGAACAATTACAGATAATTACAGTATAAACTGTGTGTGCAGTAATTACCTTGATGATGTCATAATGACTCATTGCCTTTATTGTTCTATTTTTAGATACAAAGATCCCACACAGTGTCAGTTCCTTCTCATTCCTTCATATCGAGAAGCAATTCGACTTCGGCCTCAACTGCTTTAAAGACCAACAAATCAGCATCATCCACTGGTAAGGAGTTATGCATGTACATTGTAGTATCATGTAGGGTTCACATAAAGCATGATGACTAAGTGGACTAAAATTACACATAAGGCTATAAGCATGTTTCAATATGGAGCAACTTTAAAAACTCATAAAAAATCCAATTTTGATTTGAATCAGCCCAAACTTTCTATGCAACATAAGTACATGTACATGTATTAGGAAAAAATATGAATATGGAAAATTCTCTCCTTTTTAATTATGGCAAAATCTGGCATTTACATATTCTATTGAGAATAAACATTAAAATTTTGATTGGCCACAATATACGCTGACCATGTGACTATCATGTGACTCCCTTCTTTCTCTTTCTCTTTCTCTCTCTAGCTCAATCAGATTCACCTAAAATAAAGAAAAGAGGACCAGTAAGTAAAATATTAAATTATTAAACATCTTTTCATCCTCCTCCTAATCCCTTCTATTTGCTCCTGCCCTCTCTCTCTCTGTTTAGGGATTTCTAAAGCCTATTTTTAAATCAGTTAGTAAATCGAGTATGGAGAAATTCAGATCAAGACTAAGGTAATTGAGGGTCACACACCTACAGACAGACCTACATGTACATGTACATGTACATGCAGCTGGAATATTGTACATGTATCAAAAGTATTTGAATTTTAATTATTATGCATGTACATGTACATGTACTATACATACTGAGGGAGGGCTCAGTTTTTAATTGATATTGCCTAATTGATATTGGCTAAATTGGCTAATTGTCTCTACATATATGTACATGTACATGTACATGTATTTTAATTGGTTTGCGTTTCTATGGATATAAACATGCCCTCCATTACAATGTACACTTTATTGCAGCTGTCGACAAACATTAAATGTACTGTAAATTAAACATAATGTGCACACCTCATTGAAAGGTTCACATTTAGTTTAACACAATTTAGACAAATATACATGCATTGTATATACTGTATATATGTACAGTATATCTACAATTCTACATTTATATGTAGTGTTATCGTATTTTTGTTATGTAAAAGTATGTGATATGCATACACGTGATTATCTGCATGAGCAGCTATAATAATAAATACAATTACATGTATGGTATGGTACAATTACTTGTATTTGTTATTCTAACAGACATCAACACAGTTCGACCCAGTCAGAGTCAAATACCGGCTCCGAGAGTCCCTCAGGTCCGCTGAAGGCTCGTAAGAAACTCGGGGCTCGTAAAGCCTCAGAAGAGAATCTCTTAGACGACGGCGGGTCATCGTCTGGTAAAGTATTGCGACCGGCTTCATCTGCTGAAGACTTACACACACTAAATACTCATAATTCACCAAAGGTACTTTATACTCTAGAGTGAAGCCGCCCGCATGTACAGTGAAACCATGCAACATGACTGTCCTCCTACTTGTATTTCCTCTTTTTAGTATTATATTAAAATTAGCCTCATTTTAGTAGTATAGTGGCTAATCTTACACTACTACATTGTATTACTATTTGTATATCTATATTTCCTTTTTTTTCTAATTTACATGTATACATGCTATTCACTATTATTAGGTAAGGCGACATGGCGGCAGTGGGAGACACAGTAGGACACATGTTGTTGACTCTGTTGTCAAGCTGTATGCTCTGGATCACTCTGTCAAGTATCTGGACATTACCCCTGTAAGAGATAGGGATTCGTAATTTTATGGGCAGTGGCTCTTAATTTTGTTATTGTGGTTTTAAATTTGCTTCAAAATATTGTGTACAGAGACTTTGGCCAAATTTTATCAAAAATGACTAGGAGAGAATTCTGCATTTTTAGAAATTTTTCTGATGCGTCTACATGTTCTTATGTTGTGTAGAAAGTTTGAGTTTATTCCAATCAAAATTAGATTTTTTTACGAATTTTTAAAGTTACTCCAAAATCGGATCAAAGTCCCTGTACTATAGTACAGGGTTATTGGCCAAATTTTACCAAAAATGACTAGGAGAGAATTCTGCATTTTTATAATTTTTCCTGATGCGTATAGATGTTCTTATGTTGTGTAGAAAGTTTGAGCTTATTCCAATCAAAATTAGATTTTTTACGAATTTTTAAATTTGCTCCAAAATTGAGCCAAATTCCCTGTACTATAGTACAGGGTTATTGGCCAAATTTTACCAAAAATGACTAGGAGAGAATTCTGCATTTTTATCATTTTTCCTGATGCATATAGATGTTCTTATGTTGTGTAGAAAGTTTGAGCTTATTCCAATCAAAATTAGATTTTTTTACGAATTTTTAAAGTTGCTCTAAAATTGAGCCAAAGTCCCTGTACTATAGTACAGGGTTATTGGCCAAATTTTGCCAAAAATGACTAGGAGAGAATTCTGCATTTTTATATTTTTTTTCTGATGCGTATACATGTTCTTATGTTGTGTACAAAGTTTGAGCTTATTCCAATCAAAATTGGATTTTTTATGAATTTCCAAAATTTGGGCCCAAGTCTTTGCTATACTATAGTGCAGGATTTCTGGCCAAATTTCATCAAAAATGGCTAGAAGAGAGCTCTTCATGATAGTGTTGGATGTTTAAATTGTACATGTACATTATAAATTGAAATGTCATGTAGGATTGCACATATACTGTACATACTTTATTCCATTAATTAATACAATATTGATTTTTCCAGGCTACTACCGTAGCTGAGATCATAGAGAGAGGAGTGAAGGATTTCTATCCCGACCGTTTCGTTCCTTCTCCTTCAGAGTAAGTTCGCACCTTGTCTCCTTGGCAACGTTAATATGCTCCTCCCACTTTTAGTGAGTTCTGTATATGTATGGTGACAGTCCAGAGTCGCAGTGGCCCCATTAAGAACTCTGTATTACCAGGCCATCTCACTGACTTAGCTAATTTCATTGGACTTGGAAGCAGGTGCATATTAATACCCTATGTATTGTACATGTGGCTGTAGGTTGTATTTGTTATTGTGTTCGGTATACGGAAATTGTCAGTTGTATTGTCAATTGAATTTAGTTACTCTATTTATGTACAAGTACATGTGCACATATGATGTCTAGTCTCAGTTCAGAAATGCTCTTTTTATCATTTTTAATCAGCTTCAAACTTTTACATGCAATCACATGTAGGACATATTGTTTTGTATCAGTAAATTTAACAATTTTGAAGCTACATACATGTATATGTATTGTAAGCCCTGAAATTATTAATGACAATAATTGTCCAAGGCACTTCTTGAAGACCTCTGATCTATCATGGGTGTTGGATAGATTTTGATTTAAAAAAAATGTATTTCTATGTGTATGCTATTAGATATTACTTGAAGGAGAGAGCATATCATGGTACACTAGTGCAAGATGAAGAGGCTGAACGTATTGTAAAGGAAAGTCGTCAATGGGAGCTTATTTATAACCTTAAGGCAATGCAAGTGGCTGAAGAACTTACTAGAAGAGTAAGAGAGAGAGAGAGAGGAAGAGAGAGAGGGGGAAGAGAGAGAGAGGAAGAGAGAGAGGGGGAAGAGAGAGAGAGGAAGAGAGAGAGAGGAAGGGGAGGAAAAGAGAGAGAGAGAGGGGAAGAGGAGGAGGGAAGAGAAAGACATAAGAATAAGGGTGATGGATTGTGAGGGTATTTATGAGTCTATTTATATTTTTGTATTGTACAGGATTCCAGTGTGTTTAGCAGCATTTTCCCATCAGAGTTCATTTCCGACTTATGGAAGAGTCCTGACAAAGCAGCAAGAAGACATCTCATTGAGTTTGAAGAAGTACGAGAGAGAGAGAGAGAAAGGGAGAGAGAGAGTGTGTTGGGAAGAAGATAGAAAGGGAGAAGATTGTTAGACTGTGTTTACATCTTAATGTGAATTGTCATTATAATTGTTCTTAGATACCAAATGATGAGATGTATTGGGTTATAACAACAATAGTCTCTGAACCAAGTGCTACCAATAGATCGAAAATAATCAAACACTTCATAAAGATAGCAAGTAAGTCAATATTAATAAGTTTCATTGATTTGAATGCCTTTAATTATCAATTTTTACTTTGTTCCTTTCTTTCTCTCTTTCAGAATGTTGTAAAACTTTAAAGAATTATAATACGATGTTTCACTTGTTAAGGTAAGCTAGAGCTTTAAGTCATGTGACCCAACCTCATGTGACCCAACCTCATGTGATCCTCTTCTCATTCCCATACATACATCACATACAGTGGTCTCAATCACGGACTAGTACAGAGACTCAGATCATCATGGGAGAAAGTGCCGCACAGATACAAGAAAACAATGGAGGTTTGTATGAACAAGATATAGCGCATCCAAATTGATATACATTACATATATGTACATGTACATGTAATGTACATGTATATGTTATTGTTAGCCCTTCAACCTTTTTGTTGATTACTTTGTTTCACTATAATTACATGTACCATGCAGTGTATATGATGTAAAATGTACACTACATCTGTTTAGATTTATTTCTGTATATTTGTGTTTATACCAATGTCTTTTATATAGGATTTGGGTTCTTTCATGAATCCCTTTCACAATATGGTGAAATACCGTGAGCTACAGCGACAGACTCAGCCTCCTCTGATACCATTCTTCCCCATCATCAAGAAAGACCTCACCTTCCTCTTTGATGGTAACGACACCATTGTCAGCGGGTTGATTAACTTTGAGAAACTGAGGATGCTCTCAAGGCAAATTAGGATTGTTAAAGGATTCTGTACAGCTACCATTGAGGTATGAGACAAAGACTATTCATTGCTATTCTTTTTACCCTCTCATCTTTCATTCTCTCTTACCTCTCCCGTCCTTTCTCTTTACCTCTCAGCCAACGCCCCCTGAGGTTGATTTGAGTCAGTTAGGTATATACAATAGGACCATTGGGTCTCTTCATGGGTCTTTACGTTGGAAACAGCGGAGTCCAACAAACACCGTCTCACTGACCGAGAATGCACTCAAGCGAGTATACATGCATGTAAGGTCACATGACTGTCACATGAATAGATCAAAACGATCTATTTATTCTTTTTTTTTCAGAGTCGATTGTCAAAAATGGTGAGCAAACACTTGTCACAAAAGTACGTGCTTCAGGATGAAAACTACTTGGAGCAAATTGTGGACAGTCAAGAGAAATGTAAGTAGCACATGTAGAGTGTATGTATGACTCATGATGTACTACTTGTTAGTGGAAATTAGCTTTTGATGTAATAATTGTATGTTCAAAAACTTACCAATAGCAATCCATTTACCACATAATCCATGTACAATGTACATGCGTATTTTTATTGTAGTATCAAATGTTAACAAACGTACACCATCCAGCCCAATGAAGGGAAAGAAATCTCTAGTAGTAGAATCTAAGCATCGTAAGTTATTTACTCAACTGTATGTATGTATCTGCATACAAGAGTTATGTATATGCGTAATTGCATTTTATTCATTTTTATAAAACTTTTAGGCAGTGCTAATATATCGCCATCGCCAACTGCAAACTCTCTTGGATCAGGTAAGTATTTACATAATGATGCACCATGTACATGTACATGTACTGTACATGCTACTGACCCACTGTATGTGCAGTAAAAGTAAATTATGGTTTTTTAATGCTATAGATATATCTGCCCACCAAAGTATTGATCTTTGTCCTACAAGCTCTTCTCCTGCCACCATTAGTATACCTGGTAAGTATTTAATGTACTAAGTATAGTTATTCCTTATTAATACTATCTCTTTATTATAAGTAGCTACTGCATCATTGAATCCATCTATGCCTCTTGATGTTGATGCTGATTATTCACCTCGATCGCCTTCTATGAATTGTAAGTGTGACATTATGCATGTAAATGTGTAGCAGTCCATTGTATGTGAGTTGCTACTTGTCTATTGTTGTATTTATTTATTTTATTGCATCTACAGCATTCACTAGTACAAGCAGTGCTCCTATGATATCCAAAAAAGACTGACAATGACCCATATGTTTGAGGTTATATAAACTATCAATTTTCAATTTTGTAGTTACTGTATTATTATTATTATTGTTGTTGTTGTTGTTATTATTATTATTTTCCTTTTTTGTGTGTTGACGTTATCAGCATCTTGTCGCTTCTGTTTCTATTTTTATTATTGTCAGAATTTACACTTGATTATTTTGCTTTGTGATACAACTGTAATGTACTGATTGAAGACCAGCAGTTGTAATAGATATTTAGTTGTAGAAGGATCAAATTTCAGATGCCTGCATGTGATGAGCATGTTCACAGATATGACTTGATGATCATGGCAAAGGTGCATTCATGATTTTATAGTCACCAAATCCATCCCTTAGAAATTACTTAATATTATTCATTATTATGAATTCATAAAATAAAAGTATTTATTAGTTCACAAGAAGTACTATCAGTGTTTTATATAAAACTGCTGTCTTATTGTCTAATGATACAAGTAAACCTACTATGGATGAACATGGCAAAACAAGTGTGTTAGGTTACAAGAGAAGCAGAAAAACAAAAAAAGTAATTATTTTTATATGTATAGATCTAAATACATGCATAGCAAAAGATGCAGCATATGTAGACATTTTGCTTAGAAGTATTTTAGTTTCAGGTCTTTTTGTTTAGGGTGTAGAAGATGAAAAGGGGTACAAAAAAAAGAAATCGATATGGAAAAAGTCATGGAAGCCTGCACCAATAGACAGTCATGGAAAAGTATTTGGTATTTCAGAGACAAGTAGCAGTGATGACATCAAGGCACAATGCAAAACGCAAACACAGGAACAGGAACGTAGACCTAGCCGTCGACAGTCTGGTATACTAACTGGTGTAGCAATACCTAAAATTGGTAGCTCTGCAATCGACACTGAGCAAATCTGGCAGTCAATTTATGCACAATTTGATGAGCCACAACAGCCATTGGCTTCTATTGAAGACTCAATCCAAGAGCGAATCAGTGATTCTGAGCACGAAGTTATTGAAGCCACAGTGCATAACTCAACTTCTCCTACTCGAGCGTCATCTAATAGGTCGTCAAAATCAAGTCTGTATGATGTAAAAGAAAATAAAGGGAGAGGTGAAGGAGATATTCCAATGTTATTGTCATACACTGCTGATGATTTTACCCCTACAGCTACCGGAGTAGCTGTAGCTACTTCAATAGATGATGACTTGGACACTGGAAGCTCAGAAGAAGAGGAAGAGGATGAAGAAGAAGAAGAGGATGAAGAGGAGGAGGAGGATGAAGAAGAGGAAGAGAATGAAGAGGAAGAGAATCAAGAAGAGGAGGGGGATGAAACAGAGGAAGAAGATGAAAAAGAGGAAGAGGTAGTCTGGCCCCAGACTAAGGAAAAGGATGAAAAGAAGGAAGAGAATGAAGAAGTGGATCAAAATTCAATGGATGAAAAACAAAAGGAAACACTTAGAATTAAAGAAAATAGGTCAGATACTAGTGACAGTGAAGATGAGACAACAGCTCTAAGTATCACAAATGATTCCGCCACTCCATCTTTTATAAAGAATGAAGTAGTTGAAGGTGATGATTTAATGGATATAGATCTAGATCTATTAAATCAAATTGACAGTCTTTTAGATCTACTTTCAAATGACAATGAGAATTATACAAGTGACGATAAAGGTGGCGACAAAGACGAAGATGAAAAAGTGGGGAACAATGAACTAGAAAACAAAGAAGCAGAAGAAGTAGAGGAAGCAGAGAGTGTACACAAAGAGGATCAAAGGGTAAATGAGGAAAATTTGGACTCTAGTAACAGCGTAGCTACATATGATAGCAAATCTGAGAGAAAACAAAATGTTGAAAACAATGTTGAACTTTGTATTAAAGTTTCATCTAACTGTGAAGCAAAAGATATTCCTCAAGAAAGAGGTTCTGAAACTTTAGTGGGTGCTGCCATTACTGAAAGTTTTCCCAGCAGTCTCAATGGTGACGAAACTAGAGTCACCTCTCATCATGACTTCACCACCACATCTCAAACCGATGTAGCATTTTCTAAAAAAGAATCTTCAAGCATCAACTCAAATGAAAATTTTCTGTATTTCAGTGCAGAGATTGAGCCGCTTGATAATGAATCTTTGGAAGAATTAGAGCTACAAACAAAACCAGAATCTACTTCAATGAATCAAGACAAAGAGATGACAACAATGCTTGCATCAACAAGTTGCAGTCTAGAGGATACAGATGCTGTAGTAGAAAAAGAAGTGCAATCATCAAACTCTAGTGAGCAAAAGCATATACCATTGGATAATAGCCTATCAAAAGTAGAAGAGAAGCATCAAACTGTACAGGCCACAACAGTGATAGATCTACACATGGAAGCACAGAATGCAATTTTCGTGGTGGCTAGTGGATCAACTAGTCAACAGTTTAATATCCAATCCCCCACTACAGTTAACTTTCAGAACAAGTACCCCTTATCATCAGAAGTAGCAGCAATTCCAAATGCATTATCTCAAGTACAGGATGTTTACTGTCCTCCCCAAACACAGGTGCCAGTTCAAAGAGTAGGTGCTCTAGCAGCTCAACCACAAGAAAGTGTACAGCCAGAAACTGATTGTGCTGTTCCTTCTCAGTTAGAGGGTATATCTGGATCTAGTAGCTCAAAATGTAATAAGCAACCAAATCTGCTGCAACTTCAAGGCACTGAAGCTTCACAAGTAGGTAAACCTCATTCTCCAGTTTTGGATTCTCAAGATTTAAAAATAGATGAAGCACAAGCAGCTAGACAAAGCATTCCATCTTTAACACAACCAACTCAAAGCTCAGCAGCAAACCGAAATTCTTCACCAGAGAATCCAGCTTTCACCATTGAGCCATGGATGCGTGATTCATATGTATATATCTACAATGATTTTAAAAAAGAAATCGATGAGTCTGATGATGGTACCAAAGAAGTAACCAAAAGCAGAAAATGCATGAGCCTTTGCTGTCAATCATACAAAATGAATCCTAAAGTATATATGCCAAAGAAATCGAATACTTCAAGGCCACCAAAAGCAACAAAGAGTCAAAATAAATCAGAAGATAAAGAAAACCTTATAGATGACAGTTATGACCCTGAAGCTAATGAGCAGAAAAAAGATGCCGATAGCTTTACAGCTAACTATGGTACAAATGAGACAGATAAACTTGTTAGAGTAGGAGCTAAAGCAATTTTATACAACACAACATATAACCTCTTCACTAACTCTCCTCTTGGAAACACAGTCAGAGATGGTGCAGTTTATGCTGGCTTTGGTTTTGCACTGATCATGCTTATACTTTCTATCACTTTCTTTGTGCAAGATTTACTAGCAGATAAATGCACAGACCAAGAAATGACACCTTGTTCAAAAAAAGTAAATGGGCTTGGATTGTCAGAAGTTTTCTTCAGCGTGTTTGGATTTATATTTACATTATATGATACTATAACTCATACAAAACAGAGGTGGTTTTGTAAAACATGTAAAGAGTGGGCAGAATGGAAAAACAGTGAAGTTTCTGCTAACCTCACACGAAAAAAAGTAAAAAAGGAAAAAGAAGTACAGCCTCAAACACAAGATGACAATAACCAGCAATGCTGTACCTGTTGCCAAGGGAAGACACGAAGAATAATGGATATAGCTCGACTCCTGATAATGGATTCGCTTTTCTTCTACCCATGTCTATTAATTTCTTTTTTCCAACTTATTGCTGAAATTGAACTTAACGGAAAGGCAAGTCCTGTTACTATATTACTGCTAATAGTGGGATCAATAGGTGATGTCATATCAGTATATGTAGTCAGGCTCTTTATACTGTTTGGATCAATTTTTACACTGGCAAAACTACGAAATATCAGTGGAAGCAACAAAAAGATCATTCAAACAGCATTGTTTCAATTTATGTTCGTTTTGTATTCAGGAGGAATCATGCTGGTACAAATAATGATGATTATTACAATTGGGTATACATTTCAGTATGAAGTTGCACAACATTGCACGAAATCTGGTAGATCTGAGTCTAGTGTAAATTCCCCAACAATGGATTCAACAATAGATTCAACAATGGATTCAACAATAGATTCAACAATGGATTCAACAATGGGTTCAACAATGATTGAGTGTAAATCCTTGGAGCAAAAATGGCATAATATTGACTACAATGTTTCAGCAAGATTAGTTTATATGATTTTAATTGGATTTTTACTACCTATAATTGCTAGTCTCATGTTCTTTGTTGTTCACAAGTTTTGGACGTACAAGCTGCCATTGGATGTTGTTTTCGATGTAATTGAATTAACAACAAAACAAAGAGGTCTAATTGACTTTACTTATGATGTAAAAGAAACAGCATCAGAAGTAAAACAAACGATGGGTGCAGTACACAAATACTGGCGAGATTCAAATATCGATGAACAGACAAAGAAATACAGATCAGTTAGGTTCATGGACCAATTTCTCCATCCATTTACGAGTCCTCTTCACGTAATTCTGTCGTTCATTTACATGGCTCTTTTGATTGCTTTTGCTGCTTGCAGTCAACCATGGACAGGCGGCTTGACTGCTTTTAAAATATTCGCCATTCTTTTTACAGGAGTTGTCAACATATATGCTGCGTCTATTTTCCTCTTTTGGTTGATAGTAATAATTGTTGTTTTGATGATCACTGTGACTATTATTACATTATACTGTTTAATATTTGTTTGTGGTTCATCATCAAGTAGCAGCAGGTCAAGATATTACTACTAGAACACATTAAGCTTCATTTATTTTATATTGTAGAACTAGATCTAATTCTATAGTAATTAACTTTTAGCTCTAGATAGTTAGAGCTATATGGCTGCTATTATTTTGTTATTTTTAGTGTATTTTTCTTTGTAATAAATTTATACTTT